CCTTATAAAGTGAGTATCCTTTATGAAAAATTGTATAGATAAGAGATAAGGTGAACTTTGTGAGATTATGTACTTTAAATTATGAGAAATCGTAAAATGTTTATCTATCATTTCATTCAGGCCAGACATTAAATATATTTGTATCTCTAAATGTCGTCAATAAAGAAGACACGACAAGATAGAAGTTGTACCGATAAAGTAGTTGTATGATTTATGTTTACCAAATTATTACTGTTATTAGCTTAGTTTAATTATATTTTATTTTTCTTTGAATACAATTCAAGAAAATTATTTTCACATAACAACAATTTTAACAAAGGGCAAAAGGGTTTAACAACAAGTTCTAGATCTAGCAACATTAGCAATTACCCTTTCCTTAAACAACGAAGCGAAATGTAGTTTAAACACGTTACGCAAGGCATGGGCAATAACAATGCAATGACCTTACTGTGTCGGTGTGTCGTAAAAACCCAATCAATAATTTCTCAAACGTGCATGATAAACAGATATTTTTCTTTCCCCAATTAAATATTTTTAGGAACTACAGCAACAACAACAACATATCTTTTATTCACTACATGTAATATCAGGATAAATGTCAAAATGTTAATTATCGAGGCATTTAAACAACTTGAGAATAGTTTGTGTTTGAACTTATCATTTAGCTTCGTTTTGAACACATTTAAAGAAAGTGAGTCACGTATATCACTTTATCACATACCTGTGCCGATTTTGCGACTCCGTAAATATGGTATTGAACGGCCGTGCATATATTTTGACGTGACGTCATTAGCGTTATACAAACATAGTGTAAAGACGCGCTAAATGTTAGCGTTATACTATAGGCGCGTCAATGAAAAATGACTCTTATTTCACTTGAAACGGTCTTTATTTTGGGTTTGTGATATAGAGGATATTTGTTAAGTTCAGTGTAAGATCGGAATATATTTCACCGAGTGAGCACCAAAAGTTATATTTCACGAGTAGCGCAGCCACGAGTAAAATGTGAACTTTTGGTGTTCACGAGGTGAAAAATATTTCGATCTTACACTAAACTAAACAAATTTTCTTTTTATTATATGCAAACAAACGTTAAAAAGGAAATTTTTACCTAATACTGAATGAATAGCGGGCCAAATAATTATACAACGTGACGTCATTTACGACGTTACTTTATTAAGTTGGTTTCCTGTTCTGTGTACGCTGGTATTTACCTGAAACAACGTAAGGGGCTTAAATTCAAAACAGTGAAATTATCAAATTGATAATTTCACTGTTTCAAACAGTGAAATTACCAGTTTTAATTAACTGATATATTTCTATAAACCATCGAAAAGCATGTAATAAAAATAGAATATTAAATTCGTGTAAGTTCATTATTGAATTTATTGCACTCGTTGAATAAAATAATTTTATGCTCGCCAGAGGCTCGCATAATATAATTTTATTCAACTCGTGCAATAAATTCCCTATTGAACTTACACTCATTCAATATCCTCTGTTTATCACACACCCGTGCCGATTTTGAGAATCCGTAAAAATGGTATTGCACGGCCGTGCATATATTTTGACGTGGCGTCATTAGCGTTATACAAACATAGCATAAAGACGCGTTAAATGTAAGCGTTATACTATAGGCGCGTCATTGAAAAATGATTCTTATTTCACTTTATACGGTCTTTAATTTAGATATGTGATTGAAAGAATATTGAATTCGTTGAATAAAATAATATTATGCTAGCCTCAGGCTCGAATAATATAATTTTATTCAACTCGTGCAATAAATTCAGTATTGAACTTACACTCATTTAATATCCTCTATGTATCACATTCCCGTGCCGATTTTGCGACTCCGTAAAAATGGTATTGCACGGTAGTGCATATATTTTGACGTGCCGACATTTGCGTTACATAAACGTAGTGTAAAGACGCGCTAAAATTTGATAGCGTTACACTATAGGCGCGTCATTGAAAAATGATTCTTTTTCAATTTAAACACTCTTTATTTTGGATATGTGATAAATAGAGAGAGGATATTTGTTTAGTTCAGTGTAAGATTCTAATAATATTTCAACGAGTGAGCACGAAAAGGTACATTGCGCCAAATGATAATAAAACGTGACGTCATTTATTTTATTACATGCTTTCCGGTGGTTTATAGAAATATATCAGTGAAATATAAAACTGATATTATGACTGTTTGTTACAGTGAAATTACCAATTTGATAATTTCACTGTTTTGAATTTAAGCCCCTTACGTTTTTTCAGTGAAATACCAGCGTGCACAGTACTGGGAACCAACTTAATAACGTGACGTCGTAAATGACGTCACGTTGTATTATTATTTGGCGCGCATTTCATTTAGTATTAGGTTAAATGCCCTTTTAAACGTTTCTTTGCATATAATAAAAAGAAAATTTGTTTAGTTTAGTGTAAGATTAAAATATATTTCACCTCGTGAACACCAAATTCATATTTCACTCGTGGCTGCGCCACACGTGACATATACCTATTGGTGCTCACTCGGTGAAATAATATTCCGGTCTTACACTGACCTAAACAAATATCCTTTATATTTTCGTGTAATTTTAATGCTGAATTTATTTAACTCGTTGAATAAAATAATATTATGCTCGCCAGAGGCTCGCACAATATAACTAAATTTATTCAACTCGTTCAATAAATTCAGTACTGAATTTACACTCATTCAATATCCTCTATGTATCACATACCCGTGCCGCTTTTGCGACTCCGTACAAATGGTATTGCACGGCAGTGCATATATTTTGACGTGAGGCTATTTGAGTTATATAAACATAGCGTTAAGACGAGCTAAATGTTAGCGTCTTTGTTTTTAACTTCAAGCGGTCTTTATTTTTGGTATGTGATAAATAGAATATTAAATTCGTGTAAGTTCATTACTGAATTTAATGAACTTTTTGAATAAATAATATTATGATCCCAACTTACACGTACCCGACATACATCATTAATTTGCACCCTGAAGTAAGATTGAATGAAGTTTCTGTATTCTTCAAAGAGGAATGGGGGATTTACATGATTACATTGAACGTCACCTGATGGGCTCACAATTTCACCGATAGTATTTGTTTCCTGAGCTAGGTTTATTCTGGGACAGAAAGATCTTTCATGCCAGTTATCTTCAATCCCAGGTTTATTGAACTTTTGCAGAAACACTGTACACTTACGCAGGAATAAAAACGTGAAAAAAACGCACTATTATCACAAGCCTATCGTATCGATTTATTCAGGGAATAGACATAAACACATACAATGTTATCACACATATCAACTTGCATATATATAAAAACGCACACATAAATGCAACAAAAATAATTTTAAGATTAATTAATGAGAATTATCTATGTTACCCTAGGATTGCCCATTAAGCTAAAAGCTCATTTCCAATGGGGTCCATTTACTGTAAAATTAACGCACTAACTTATATAATAATAAATGAATTATAAAAAAGTGAAAATAAATGACAATTTTTGAAAAATTGTTCAACAATCGAGACACATTTTTCAATATAATAAGACAAGTACATTGTACACAATCAAAATGAAATAAATTTTGTTTAAACTAAAACATTATCAAGTACAACATAAACATGTTACAAAACCTTATCATAAGTTAGTAAAGTTACACATCAATTGAGTAATAAATAAACATATTATTCACTTGTTTATCATTTCCATTACTTAAAAAAGTTTTACTTTCGTTTTAAATGTTTAGATATTGTCGATTGACCTAATGCTGTCTGGTAAAGAAGTCTTTTATGGCGTTGTAGAAAAATGTGTTTGTAACATGGGAATCATTTTGGAGCAAAACAAAATTAAAATTACTAGATCTTAAATTGGATATTCTACATACCTTAAACAATTCCTTTAAATAAGAAGGGTTTTTGTTGTAATAAACTTTATGAATGTGGTTGAGTCTTAACTGTCTAACTCTATCACTGACATTCAATATTTTAAGATCAGACAAAAACCTTATTTGTCACCGAAGTCCTAGGGGTATAGTCTTTATAAAGCCGCACAACCTTAATTTTGAAGCTACTTAAAGTTTGTGCTTCAGTGACTTACTCAGTCCTTCGTACCAAGAAGATGAAGAATAATCAAAGTGACAAAGCAAAAAAGGCAGGACATAACTGTTTCTTTATTTCTTCCGATAAACAATTTTTGTAACGGTATAGAAAATTTAATCTTCCATTCACCTTTGAAAGAATGCTCTTGACAATTTTATCTCCTGATAGGTAACAATCGATTACCCAAGTTTTGGGCTATAATTTTTGGATCGTTTTGCAGAATTCACAATACAAGTTATAGGGATTTTTAACACATCAGCACCATCTTTAAGAAATTTTGCAGGGATACCATCTAATCCAGTGCTTTTGTTTATATTAAGCCTACATAATTCTTCATATACAAACTCCTCACTTACATGATGAAGGTGAAACTCTTTTTGTGATATGTTCCTATAAAAATTCTTAATTGTATCAGATGCCATACTATACCCGGGAGTTACGTACTGTACTAAATTAGATGCAAAAATTTGTAAAGAAGTTATTAAAATGACTTGCAACTCTGTATATTATAACACAAATTGCTTTTTGCGTAAATTTAAATATTGTTTCAAAATGAAATGAATCATTTGTAAATGCCTTGAACAAAATTAATGTTTTTGTAACTTATTTACAAGCGTGGCACTTTATAACCGTGGTACAATGTAGCGTACAAGTAAAACAAAGTTGTTCCCCTTTTATAATATGCACACTTTGCTCAGTTATTGACGTCGTTTCGTGTAACGATACCTGCTTAAACAGTTAAACTGTGAAAACGATGGGAGTATGATACTGTTTTGTTACAATGTTTAAAATGAAATTCACTCTGTCACGAGCCGTCATTATTATCATAATTGCCATCAGTTTACTGTTTGCTTTCAATTCTTTGCTTGGCCTGAAAATAAAACTGCTATGGATGTACTACCCGGAGCTTGACGCGGAGAATATTTGGAGGGCTGAAGTGACTGATAAATCACTATGGACATCTCTGGCTCCAGATATGAAAGTTACAACTAATTTTATTGATAGTAAAGATAAAACTGTTACTGATAGGCTTCTTGATTCTGAGAACATAGACTCTTCAACTTTTGGGACTTCTCCAGTCACTGATTCAAAAGATTTAAAGGTTCTGTATGGTGAGAAAGAAAAACAGTGTGATATTAAAATTTCATCAGAAAAATTCGATTGTTATCCTGAAAATGATGTTTCAGAAAAAGGCTGTGAAATTCGGGGTTGTTCCCGGTTTTCAAGTAGGGCCAGAAGAAACCTTTGGGAAGTCAAAGATTAAAAAACCACACAAGCATTTTGACGTCCAAAACGTTTTTTCCCCAAAGGGAAATTTTTCCCCAATTTAAATTTATTTAGAGAAAAAAATTTTACACCATTTGGGAAATTGGTATTAAAACAAAAGGAAAAACCCCCAAACAAAACTACCCCTAAAAGGTTTAAAAACAATGGCTGAAGATGTTCATTTGATCAAATCAAAAAGATTAAAATGTAAGGAAACACATTATTGTAATTAAAAATTAAATTTTCATTTTTTAATTACTTTAATTGGGCCGGGGGCCCACGAAAAAACCCAAAACATAATGGGTTTTTCCCAACCCACCCATGGTTTCCAAAGACCGGCCTGGGGGCTTTTCCGGGGCCGAAAATTCTGTTTCGGGGTTTCCCATGCTGTTAGTTTTCCCAACCTATTAAAAGAAGAGAAACTAAATAGTGAACGCTGGACCCCTGATCACACTGTGCGAATGCGCAGACGGTTTGGAGTTCCATGTTTAGTCGAAAACCCCTTTATTTTTGGGTTTTTGTTGTGACGCGGTTTCCATATGATATTCCCCTTTGATAACCCTTTTATAGATTATGATCCCCCCTCAGAGGTTAAAAATTGTTTGGGTGAAAATTTTTTTAAGTAATTACTTCAACCCTAATTCTATGGGGCACAAAACTTTGTAAATATTAATTTTATTTTGGAGTAAAGAAACGGTATGCTTCTTTTTTTGTGTTTTTATCAATTTTCTAAATTTAAATCAAAATTTCTGCTTATTTTTTTTTTAATTGTTTTATAATTTAATGTTAATTTTTTAACTTTTTTAATAAATTCTTATTTCCCGGTTTTCAAAGGGCATTAATAAGATAATTTTCAAGATATGACATCTTAGCAGAGTGTGTCATCAAATTTACTTTCTTTTTTACATCAATGACTCAGTGACTGTGTTCTCTTTTTTTTATTCAAATGGAAAATTTATAATTTACCAGAGAGGCACATACAAAGCTGTTAAGATATAACAATTAAAGGGAAGTAACAGAATTACTAGTTTGAAATGTTACAGAATAAGTTACCTTTATTCTTACCATAATAGTTGCATAAAAGATTTATAATTTTCCCCCAGATATTTGATCCATTAAACAAGCGTTATGAGGTACCATTAGATTCCCAAAGTGTAAAAAAGGAAACCCAACAGAACCTTTGGTAAAACACACCATTAGAAACCAGGGCGGCTTTTTGGCTTAGCGTAAAAAGAACAAGTGATCCACAAGGGTGAAATGTTTTTTTCTCATAGCAAAAAATTATAAAACTCCCCTTCACTTATTTCCCTTTTCTTTTGTGGGAAAAAAAGGGTTTCATCCCAGCCTACTTTTCATAGTTTAATAAAATAGTATAAAAAATTTTATGTATAGTAAAATTTATAACAAAAATAAGTTTAAAAGTTAAAACAATACAAAATATACAATGTTTTTTGATTGTTAAAAAGATGAATAAAATTAAAAAACTTTTTAAAAATTTTAGTTTTTTCAAAAAGGGCAAAATTGATTTTAAAACAACAATTTTTTCAACTTTTTATCTCTCCCTTCCCCTCACCATATTTTTAATGGTTTTTGGTGAACAAGAAAAAAATCTCTTCTAAAGGAAAAACTGGCCCGGGAAAAACTGGGGAATTTTAAGTTTAAAATTTCCTGACCCAAGTTTTATTTTTTAAATTCAGTTCAAAAGTTTTAAAAATAAATTTAAAAATTAGATTTTAACAAGAAAAATTTAAATTTTCTTTTGAACTGAAAGATTTTACAAATTTATTTGCTTTAAAATTTAAGTTGAATTTTAAGGGTTCTTTTTAAAAAGGGAAATGTTTGTCCATTTTTGGCAAATAAATCTAATCAAAAAAACCAAGTTTTTCAGACTTGCCCTAAAAAAAAAAATTTTAAATATTGGCCCTTGAAAAATTTAAATTTTTGGGTGTTTTTTTAAATTTAAATTTTGGAAAGTTACTTTAGTTTATTTTTTTTTTATTTATGAAAGGTTTTTTCTTAATGTTTAAATTGTAAGGCCACTCCCAACTCTTTATACAACCTGACAGTATTTTGTGGCAATTTTCCTTTTTTTAAAATGTCCGGGTTTTTGAAATTCCCCCAATAACCACCCCACATTTTTTTTTTGTATTTAGCAAATTTTTTTTTGGGTAAATTAAACAGCCATTCTCCTAAAATTTGAAGCTTTTTTTTAAAAATTTCCTTGTCTCCATTTTTTAAAAACCGTAGTAAAATGTACAGGCCCCACCTTTAAACCTTTGTGACCAAAAAATTTTTAAAATTTTACCTGGGATTTCTCAACAACTTAACTTTTTAAATTTTGTAGCGTGGAATTTCTCCTCGTTTTTTCCCTTTTTTTTTTAAAAATAAAACCTAAGAACTGCCCAAAAAAACGGGTTCGCTTTACCCCAATTTTAAAATTTAAGAAATTGGTTTTAAAAAAAAATCCAAATTTTTATGTTTTCCCCCAAAAATTTTTTTCCCCAAAATCAATACAATATGAAAAAATTAAAAATAAAGAATTAAAAAAAGAATTCGAGACAGAGACCCCTTTTTTTCCAAAATTTCCCTTTAAAAGCTGCCGTCGCCGAAATGCAACTATGGTACCCAAACGATTTTAAAAAATGGAATGAAGGGTTTTTGAGATGCGTTTATTTTTTTAAAAATTTTTTACTTTAAAACCCAATTTTCAAAAATACTATTTGGAAAAATTTTTTAAAATTTGGGCTCCTGCCGGGTGATAATTTTTTAAAACCAAAAACCCTTTTATTGAAAAATAATTCCAAAAATGTCCCCGTTTTAAAATGGGAAACCCCCGTAACGGGCGGGATACTTTTTTAAAAATACATTATACAATCAAAATTAAAAAAATTTTTAAAAATTTTTGTTTTATTTCTTTAAAGAAAACACCAAAAAAGAGATTCGTTTGCACAAAAAAGGGTTAATTTTTGACCCCGAGAAGTCTTACTGGGGAAAATAATGGGCTTTCCATAAAGGCCGACTTTTTTTTCCCTAACAAAAAGAAGGAAAAAAATTTTGGGGAAAATTTTTCGGTTCAAATGGGAAAAAGTGGACTTTTTTTATTCAAGGGGGCCCCAAAGATACTTTATAAGAGGGTTCATGAAAAATCTTAATTGACTTTTTTGAATACAATTAGGCCCAACCCGGAGGTTTAATTGGCTCACTGTTCTTAATTTTGGCAAAACCCCTTTTTTATTTGATAACAATGTTTTCCCCAATTTTGTTAAATTTTCACGAGAAATTTTTCTGATAAAAATGGTTGGGAAGCTTTTTTCAAACCAAAAAACCCCAAATCAAAAAGTAGAAGTTTACTATTTATTTTTTTTTTTCCTTTTTTGAAACATTTGTTACGGGAAAAAGTTAATTATTTTTTAAAACAATAAAATTCATTTTAATGGACTTTAATTCCCTAGTTAATTTTTAAAAATTTAAAATGAAAAGATTGGTTTTAAAAATGGGAAAAATTTTTTCGATGAAAAAAGAAGTGCACAGTTTTAAACAAATAGTCCCAAAGGGAATTTGTTTACGGGGAAACCATAGTATTTTTAACATCTTTTTTCAGCACCATTTAAAAATAATAAATTTAGTTTGTTTTTAAAAAACTGTTTTCCCGTGTGCTTTTTTATTATTAAAAAATTTTTAAAAAAATTGTGTCCAATATTAAATTGAAGTCTAAAATTTTTATTGCGTTTTAAGTTTGGGAGTTTTTCCCTTACGGAAAATATCAAATTTTGGGTTTGGAAATAGCATTCATAAATTTTTATGTTTAATTATTTTTTTGTTTTTTACATTTTTAAAAAACCAAAATTGTATCATTATTTTCCCCTTTAATTATCTAAAAGTTTTTAAAAATTTTCAATTATCAGAAAAAAAAAATTAATAATGATATTAATGAATAAATATTAAAAAAATGATTATTAGTAAATTGGTTATATTAATAACATTTATAAAATAATTTTTTTTAATGGAAATTTTTAGTAAACAAGGTTAATAAATTTTTAATAAGCCAACGATTTTGTATTTTTGAATGGGGCTTTTTTAAAAAAAAATAAGGGGAAAAAAGCAGAGGGGAAAACAACAAATAAATTTTTAAAAGAAGGGAAAACAAAAAATATGTTCTTTCCCCAAAAAAAACACTTGGGAAAAAGGCCAAAAATAAAAAATTTTAAAAAAGTTTTAAACAAAAAGCCAAAAAAAAAAAAAAAAAAAAAAATTCCCCTTTTAAAAAAAAAATAAATTAAAAAAACCATAAAAGTTTTTAACCAAGGAAAAAACAAAAAAAAGGGTTTTTTTCCCAAAAATAAAAGATTAAAAGGATAAGGGTAAAATTATTTGAAAATAAAATAAAATTTAAAAAAAGGAAAAAAAAAGATTAAAATTTTAATTCAAAAAATAAAAACAAAAAAAAAGTAATGAAAAATTTTTTTGGGAGGGAAAATTTTTTTAAGAAAAGGGAAAAATTTTCCCTTGAAAAAGTTTTTGGGTATTAAAATAAAAAAACTTTAAAATTAAAAAAAAATTTTTTTAGGTAAAGAAAAAAACCAAAGTTAAAAAAGAAAAATAAAGAAAAAAAAAAAAAATTAAATAAAAAACAAAAAATTGTTTTTAAAATTTTTTTAAAAAAAATTTTTCTTCAAACTTTTTTAATTCATATTCTTTTTTATTTTTTAATTTAAAAAATTTTTTTAAAACAATACCCCCAATTAATTCCTATTTTATTATATTTCCTTTAAAAATTTTAAATTTATTTAATAACTTCAAACTTTTTATTATACAAACAAACCCTTTTTTTTTTTAAATTTTTAAAAACAAACTTTCCAATTTTTTTTAACAATTTAAAAAATCAATTTTAAAAATTTTTTTATTAAATTTAATTTTTCATTTTTTTTTAACCAAAATTTTTTTTATTTTTTTAAAATTTTTTAAAACCCAAATTTTTAATCTATATATTATTTTTTTTATCATTTTTTTATTAAAAAAAATTTTCTTCTTTTTTATTTTTTTTCATTTTTCAATTTAAAAAAAATTTTTCAAATTTTTTTTTTATTTAAAATACATTTATTAAATTTTTCCCTTTCCTTTTTTTTCCTACATTTATATATCTTCTTTTAATATTTTAAAATTTTTTTTATTTTTAAATAAAAATACACAAATTTATTTAATTTTATTTATATCTTTTTTTTAATTTTTTAAATTTAAAATTTATTTTTCACATCCATTCATTTTTTTATTTAAAAATTTAAATCTAATTTTTTTTTCTCCTTTAAAAAATTTTTTTTATATTCTTTATTTTTTTTTAAATAAAAAATTTCCTAATTTAATTATAACCCCATTTTCATAAATTTTTTAAACATTTTTAATAGCCTTTAATTCTTATTTTACCCTTTAATTTTTTAATTTAAAAAAAAAATTTTTTTCTTCTCTATAAATTTCCCCTAATTTTTTTTTTTTTTTCAAAAAATTTTCTCAAAATTTTAAAATTTATAAAAAAATTTACATAATTTATTCTTTTTTATTTTTTTTCATATATTTTTATAAATTTTAATAAAAGTTTTTAATTTTTTTCTATTTTTAAAATTTTTTCATAACTTTTTTCATTTTTTTATTAATTCCAAAATTATTTTTTTTAAAAACAACATAATTTACTATAAAAACCAAATTTTCAAAAAAATAAAAATTAAAAAACTTTTTCTCGTTTTTCCCTTCTAAAATTTTTTACAATTTCCCAATAAAAACATATAAATATTTTAATATTAATTTTTTTAAAATACATATCCCTTTTCAAAATTTGGGGGTTTCTTTCCAATTTTTCTTTTTAAAAAAATTTTTTTTAAAATCTTTTTTTCAAAATTTTTTTTTCTATTTCCCTCAAAAATTTTCCCTAAATTCCCTATTATTACCAACCTTTTTTTAAAAAATTTTTTATATTTAAACCCTTTAAATTTTTTAAAAAACAAACTATTAAAATTTCCCCATATAAATTTAATTTAAAATTTTTTTCTCCATTTCCCTTTCACACATAAATTTTTCATTTCAAAACTTAATTAAAAATTTTTAATATATTAAATTTTTAAACCCATTATATTTTTTTTTATTAAAAATTAAAAAATTCTTTCATTTCTTTTCATTTTAAAAAAATTTTAAAATTTTTAAAAATATTTTATTTTCAAATACCCATCTTTTTTAATTTTTTCCCTTTTTTTCATCAAAAATTTTTTTTCTTTTTTTTTTAAACTTTTTATAACCCAATTTAAAATTTTTTTTTTCTTTTCCAAAATCTTTTTTTTCAAATTTTAAAACTTATTTTTTCCAAAAATTTTTCCCTTTTAAAACAATTTTTCCTTTTTTTTTCAAAATAAAATATTCTTTTAAAATTTAACCCCCCATTTTTTCCCTTTTTTGCTTATTTTTTTACCTTTTTTTTTTTTTTTTTCTATTTTTTTTTACACCATATCCCCCATTTACCTAAACAAAAAAATAATTCTCCTTTTCTTAACATTTTCATTTTTCAAATCCGCTTTAATTGGAAAAATACCCCCAATTTTATTTTTCTTTAAATTTAATTCCCCCATTTTTTCCTTTTAAAATTTTTTTTCATTTTGGGTTTTTTAATTCCCCTTTTAAAAATACAATTAAAATTTTTTTTAAAATTTTTTAAAAACAAAAATTCCAAATTTTAATTTGATTTTTCATAAAATTTAATTAAAAATTTCCCCATTATTTATACACTCCAAAACTTATTTAACCATTTTATCACTCAATTTACTTCACAATTATTTATAAAACCAATTCTTATTACACATTATTTTCATACATTTTCAATAATTATTTTAAATTATTTCATCCCGCTCAATTTTACGTTTACAATTATTTCATAACTCAGATACTTATTTTACACATTTTTTTTTATCAAATTTTTTTCAAATTTTACACATTTAAAAATTTTTAAAACTTTAATTTCTTTTCAAACCCTTAAATTTTATTCTGAGATTCACACATTGATTTCATTCAGCCTCAGATACTGAGTTCACGCATGATTTCATTCAGCTCAGATACTGAGTTCACGGCATGATTTCAATACAGCTCAGATACTGATTTCACACATGATTTCGTACAGCTCAGAATACTGAGTTCACGCATGATTTCATTCAGCTCAGATACTGAGTTCACGCATGATTCATATTCAGCTCAGATACTGAGTTCACGCATGATTTCATTCAGCTCAGATACTGAGTTCACGCATGATTTCATTCAGCTCAGATACTGAGTTCACGCATGATTTCATTCAGCTCAGATACTGAGTTCACGCATGATTTCATTCAGCTCAGATACTGAGTTCATGCATGATTTCATTCAGCCCAGATACTGAGTTCACACATGATTTCATACAGCTCAGATACTGAGTTCACACATGATTTCATACAATGTTCACAAGTTCACACATAACTTCGTACAGCTCAGATACTGAGATCACGCATGATTTCATTCAGCTCAGATACTGAGTTCACACATGATTTCATTCAGCTCAGATACTGAGTTCACACATGATTTCATACAGCTTAGATACTGAGTTCAGCAGAAATTATTCTTTGGACTACATTGTGTTATTGGTTTAATTGTATTCTTGTAATTAAAAATAATTACCAGTATATGTTTTTTAATTCTCTGATTTCAGATTATTAAGATTGCTGATTAATAATCTATTTAATCTATTCCCTAAAAAATGAAAACTGTAGGAAGGGGGAAGATGGTGTAAGGGTAGATATGGTCTAGTAGTTAATTCTCTCTGCTCTAAGATTTTAAAGAAGAGTTTGCAAGAAATCAATGACTTTGATTTTTTTTTTTATTTAAACCCACCCTACAAAAAAAATTCTTTTTAAAAGAGCAGAAGCTATTTTTAAAGGGTAAAGAAAGAAATTGTTCTGGGGGGTGAAAAGAAGGGTGTTTCTGAAATAGTAATTGTACAGTTTTAAAATTTTTTTTAAACCTTTTTCTATTGGAAATAAATTCTTGCAAAAAAAGTTTATTTTTTTTTCGTCGTTTGTTTTCCCAAAATAGTCAGTATTTTGGGAATTTTATGTTAAAAAACCCGGCATTGGGCATGAAAAAACAAAACCAATCACAATCTTTTGGGTTACCCCTTTTCCCATTGCCCTTTTCCCGCATATTATCTCTCATGTAGGGCCCAAAAATAATATAAAGTTTTTTTATTTAAATTAAATTTTTCTAATTTGTTTTAGTATCTAAAATTTTTTTTTTTGGTTTGGGGGGCGTACTGAGTGGTTAAAAACAAAGTTGGTTTAAAGCATAAAACTTTAAAGGGTTGCTGCCCGGGGTGGTTTCAAAACCCCGTTTGGGATAATTTTTTTCTTTCCATAAGCAAAAAATTTATAAATCGTTGCTCAGTAATGGGTTTTGGGTTTCCAAGGGAAAGGATTTGAGAGTGTTTTTCCCGTAAAATTTTAGCTTCCAAGCAATTTTAACTAAAAATTTAAATTTTAAAAAATAATAATTGTGTGATTTTAAGTTTTTTGCATTTATTTATTAGTTAAACACAAGCATAAAGTCAAGATGGATGTAAGTGGAATGATATTTGAATTTTCAATAGGGGAAAAGAGATTTTACAACAGATGTAGAAAGATTTGGAGATCAAGCTGCCATGGTTGATGAGATTCATAGACGAGGGATGAAGTACATTGTTATAGTGGTATGTAATATAACAATTTTAACCTGGATTGTTGTTTATATAAATCCTTACTTGCTCAGAGACAAAAAGTTAAAGGAGAAGTAATGCACTAAATAAATTTGCAGCGACTGTAAAGCCATGATATAAAATTTATATGACTTTGCTAATGTGACATGGCAACATTCTTGCCTTTCAAAACATAGATTGTCTTTTTAACCTCCTTCATGTAAGATAAAAAAAAAGTTAATTGTGTTAGAACATACATGTATTTTTTGATGTTCAATGAAAACAAATGCAGTGGCGGCAAAGGTCAAATGGTTAAAGCGTAGATTTAAATCTAAAAGATCGTAGCTGCATGGGGGTTAAATCCAAACAGGGGCAAAATGTTGTTTTCCTTTTAAACGAAAATTTACCTCTTTTGAAAACCCCCTACAAATTTTGGAACCTTTAAAATAATTTTCCCTTTTTAAACCCCAAAAGCAGGTAAGGGTTTTTTTAATTTTCAAAAAAAATTTTAAACCGTTATTCAGGAAAATGTGAAAAAGGGATTTTCTTTCCCTTTTTTAGTTTTTTTTCAGTTTTTTTTTACTTTGTTCTTCAGGTTTAAAAAAAATTTAAATTTTAAAATTTTGGGCTGGGACTTTTTGTTTTCATATGATTACAAAAACATATTAAATTTTTTAATTTTTTTCTTTGGGATGATTTTGTTTTTAAAATTAAGTGTATAAAGATGGGTTTCCCAAATTTTTGTTACAGGATTCCCGGGTTTGGGGTACCGGGAAAACCCCCCGGTTCAATTTTGACATTTTTTGGAATTTTTTTGGTTTTTAAAACCCCTGGTATTTTCATTTAAAAATGAATCAGGGGCAAAAATTTTGGGAAAATGAAAATTTTTCATGGAACTTGATACGGGGTTTTAAAAAATTATTTTTTAAGTTAAAGGGGAAAATATTTTTTACTTATTTCTTTTTTTTTCATTTAAAACCGGGGTTGCGGGTGGTTATTATGCCTTGTGTGGGGTCTTAAACCCTAATTTCCCTTTGCAAACTTGCGTTTTTTTTAAAAAGGGAAAAATAAATTAAATTGATAGTTAAAAAGAATTGCCTTCCCATAAAATAAATTTTATTTCAATTCTTTTTCCAAAATTTGAAAATTCCTAGGAATTTCCCGGATTTTATAAAATTTTTTTGCTTAAAAAATGAAACAAGTGTATCTTCATACATTAATTTTTTGCCCATACCCTTTTTAAAGGGAATAAAGAATTTTATCATTTTTTTTTTAGGTTTGGCCCGGGGCCCAGGTTTTCCTGATTTCCCGCAATGAGAAAGGATAAATATGGGCCCCCTTTTATAAAAGAGTAAAAAAATAAATTTTTGTTTGGGTAATTGGAAATTTTAAGTCAATTGTCAGTTTAGGGTCAATTTTTTTTTTAAAATAAATTTATTTAAATTTTTTTATTTTACCTGCTAATAAAATAAATGGGAAAAACGCACAAAAACAAATTAGTTTTTGCAATCATACATTTTAGTTTTTGACCATATTTTTTTTTTAGTAAAACTTTATAAAAAATTTCACTAAAGGGTTTTTTTACCCTATTGTTTTCTCATGGGTTATTGTTTTGAAAATTTTTGGAATGTTAGCGTTACTTTTTGAAGTTTAATTTTTCTTTTTTATTATTGGGAAACAGAAATAAATAAATTTTGTAAAAAATTTTTCATGGAACCCTTTTTTAAACAAACGCTTTTTTGGGTTTTAGATTTTTCTTTTTTATTTAACATTTAGGATATGAATGAGATAGCAGCATTTGTTGATGGTTCTATAGATGGATGTCCTATCTCACAGTATGATCATCCTCCATATACACCAGGTCTTCATTGTCCCTTATCTTTCATTCAGTTCTTTGAAATAAAGAAATGACAATTGAGCCGCGTCATGACAAAACCAACATAATGGGTTTGCCACCAGCATGGATCCAGACCAGCCTGCGCATCTGCGCAGTCTGATCAGGATCCATGCTGTTCGCTATCAGTTTCTCTACTTGTAATAGAGTTGGTAAGCGAACAGCATGGATCCTGATCAGACTGCGCGGACGCGCAAACGCACTATGTTGGTTTTGTCATGACGCGGCTAAATTTATACATAACACTGCTTTCAAAAACCAAGAGATATTTGTTTAAAAATTATCTTGATAAAATTGAATATTGATTACTTTATCATTAAGAGGTTAAGTACAATGTAGTTATACTCCCAAATATCTCAAACATATTAGAGCTATGTTGGTGGTGCTTGTTGTCAACATTCATGCTGCAATATTGGGTTTTTTTTTATTTCAGGTGTTTTTCAGGGGGGAAAGTTTTTACACCTAAGGGGCCATATGTGCATCCCGGGGTTTTAAAAAAAATTGTCAGTAATTATAACCCCTTTACAATCTTTTTGGTTTTTAAAGGAAAAAGGCAAATACTAGTAAAATTGGAAAAGTTTTCTTTCCCGAAAAGGGTTTTTTTTTGATACAGATTTTTTTTGAAAAAAGAACCCCCTTGTGCAAAATGTTACTTTTCAGGTTTTTTATCAAAGAACTAAAAATTAGAAATTGTGAAAATATTTGTTGTTTTAAGATATTTCAATTCATTTCTTACTAAAGTTTATAGTACTGTATAAAGTATTTGAAGAATATTTATTATTTTGTATACTTGTATATTAACTTCATTGAAATGGTCAAAATAGTCATATAAGCCTTGACTGCTTAGAAACGGTTCTATTTTCAGTACCATTTATATACATAGCATTGATCATCAATAAATCTTTGTTAATTTAACAATTTGTCAGATTAAGTCCTGAGTTCTAGTGTTGTTGACCTGTAAAGAATCAAATAGGCATTTTTAATGTAATTCATTACTTATTGTTTAGATATTTTATATGTCACGTGGCATAGTTTAACACTATAAAAAATATTCAAACCCTAGCAATGAGGTTAAAAAATATTTGGGATGTAAATACATGACCAGTACTTCAACATTTATGTTGGTTTTTGAGGTCACTTCTGTTAAGAAATAAGGGCCTTAAAATATTGACAGATAATTTAGATATATTCCATGAATTTCTATCATTCACTTTAGGTCAAGGCCACAGTGACGCATGATTGCATTTTATTCAACTTTAACCAAATTTTTGTTACTTAACTAATTCCATCACAGGTATTGAGTAATAACCCCTAACTCAAAATATATTATTTTCATGCAACTAAAACTATGAAACTACAGCTATTGAACACAGGTGATTTTTAAGGCTTTTTGTTTGTTATAACTTTTTCTATTATTTTATATCTAAAATATTTCAGTGCATTAAAAGAATTACCATCTGGGAAGAGGCCTTTCATCATTTCTAGGGCAACATTTGCAGGTCAAGGTCATTATGGAGGTCACTGGACTGGAGATAATGTGGCAACATTTCATGATTTATACAGGTCTATCTCTGGTAGGTCACAATTCTGCCTTTATTAATCCATTGTTTGCTGCTTATGTTAACCCCTATACAGTAAAAACTCTGAAAACCGGACCCTCTCCGGACTTGACCAAAAGTCCGGTTTTCAGAGGATTCTGGTTTTCAGAGGTTTTATACTTTAATTGATAATTATGATGTGTTTAAACTATGACTTTGTTAAAACATTTTGTATTTACTTTTTAACACTTCTGTTATTTTTCAATTTCTTTTAGCAATAAATGTCTTTAGTAATTTTATTATGCAAATCCATGATATCATTCAAAAAATCAGAAATAAAAACAACACATTGTCTGAAATATATCTTTTTAGTTGGCTTTTGAAATATGTAATTAATGGAATTCAGTATTACTATTTTTGCATATAATAAATATCCAAACAAATATCAAAATTTTTAGCAAAGCAGGAATCATTTTACAAAAGTTTCACAATTCTTTTAGACATTTTATATTTAAAAAAACAACACAACAAATTAAAAACATTTAGAAAAATCATACCTATACAGAGAAAGGCACAATTATAATGGAAGAGCAATAATTTAATTGCCAATGAGAAATTAGCACACACTAAGAAGTGTTTTCACACCTGCATAGATAAAAAAGGTGATCATTAACTGGTCATTGAACATGTCCCCTGTTGAGATTATGTTTTAATATACATTAAAATACAGTGTACACGGAAAGCTGACACTTAAAATTGCTGTCCGGTTTTCAGAGGATTTTTTATGCATTTTTAGCATTAGAAACCATAGAAAATCGTCCAGTTTTCGGAATTCAGAGGTTCCGGTATTCAGAGGATTTTTTTTCAATGAATTTATAAGGAGAAAATACGGGACTTTTGAAAAGGTCCGGTTTTCAGAGGATTCCGGTTTTCAGAGGGTCCGGTTTTCAGAATTTTTACTGTACATGTATTGTATCACAATGCTCATTTGTCACAGGGTCAACATTTCCAGATTTAATGTTGAAGTTCTATCTCCAGTGTCAGCTTGAAAAGAATGAAGAACAATTTATTATCTTTTATAAGTGGTTTGTTAGTATGAACAATGTTCATTTGTTCTAGAACAATTTATTATCTTTTATACAGTACGCTCACCGCGGGTTTTGCTTTTTCCGCGATACCACCGCGGACGATTTTTTTTATCGCGGACGAACCCCGCGTCCGCGATGAGAAGCCTAATTTCCCCGCGATCCCCGGTGTTCAGTTGTTTCCACCGCGGACAAACTTCTGACGACCGTTCTTCATTCATCGATAAAATCAGTCACCCGTTTCCCGCGGGGGAACGCCATGGTCAGTATAAATTAACCTCCAAAAATAATAGACGTTTTATTATTTTATAACGTCATCTTTTTTACACAATGACTTGAAAATTGACCACAATCGTCTCCTTAAATGTTATTATACGTTAAATTATTTGAACGGAATTTGAAATAAAAATAATTACAGCTGTACCTGTTTTTGTTGTTGTTTTTAATATTTTTGTTACATGTATAAACGTCCACAAAACTATTCGTCCACATACCAATATTTTTACAACTGAAATCGTCATTTATCACTGTCATCTTTACTTTTTCATTCCTTGTGGTTCTATTGCTGTTAAACTATATGGGAGCCATAAATATGATACTTAGTAAAAAAGGACATTTGTGCTGAGATACGGACATATGGTGTGAGATGTAAATAAAGAGAAACGTGTTTTATTTTGTCAAAGACTTATCAACCGGAATGATTCCCTTGACGACATGATATTTAGTGACGAAAGCACCGTCTTTCTTCACCACCATAAACCAGCAGCTTACCATCCAGAAGGTACAGCCAACATTGTTATACCCAAGCCAAAGCACCCACCACAGCTACATGTTTGGGGCGGGATAAGTCTCCGAGGTACGACAGAATTAGTTGTGTTTGGTGGTATAATGGAGAAAACGTTTTTCACCAATGAAATTCTAGGTGCTACTTCAAACTTCAAAACCTATACATTACGCTCACACCTGTAATTAGATAAATCAAGAATACCATTTAATGTATATTTTGGTGAAATAAACGCTTTCTTTTAATGTTCCAAATAAAATATAAGACTTTATGATCAACATGCAAATAAACAGAAACAGTAAAACGCATCTGACAGTTGAAAGAGACGTCCTGGAATATTGCCTGAATAAATTGTTGAGGGTTACGTTTTCAAAGTTTTTAAATAAGAAACAAAAGCTGGCATATAAATTGTTGTAGTATCTTTTTCATAAATGTCATATGCCGAATTTTTCATTATTTGACTTCAAGTTTCTCACTACCATGAAGTTGCGACGACAATGATTTATCTTGATGTCGAATACATATTATACATTACCCAACACAATAACAAGAAGAAGAACAAGAAATACACTGCATTTTTACATGTACTTTTATTACAACGAAAAAGAAAACAAACAAAGAAATTTTACATATAGTTATATGTACAGTACATGTTACAGTACGTACGTATACTGATGTTTAAATACAGTAATTAATTTAAGGTTTCCACAGCGTTGACCGGTGATTGACTGCCGCGTTCCTCCGCAATTTACCACTGCGTTCCGCGGGGGAAACGGTTTCAGCCGCCGATTTATGTCCGCGGTGGTGAAAATTTTCTGTCCGCGGGGTCACGCGGACAATATCTGAGCAAATTTTCGTCCGCAGTAAACCTCATCCGCTGGGTCACGCGGGTTTTGAAAAAGCCGCGCGGAGCGTACTGTAAGTAAGGTATGTAAATCTTATACTTACAGACAATATCCATATATACATGTTTCATTTGTGGTTTGTTGTCGTTTATGGTACTTAATACTATAATAATACAACGTAACAGTTCATTGTAAAACAGACCTTCCATTATAGACCAATTAACTTTCATGAGGAGAAATACGGTAGTCATAAACATTAAATATTGACTCTAGTTCATAGACAGTGTATATTAACAATAAATCATAACAAAAAAGGGTGAATTGACATGATCATGTATTTTAGCGATATTGACGATGAATCTAGCTGGTATACCAATGGTTGGTGCAGATATATGTGGTTTTAATGGCAACACTACATATGAGTTATGTCTAAGATGGTACCAACTTGGAGCATTTTATCCATTTTCTCGCAGTCACAATAGCGATACAATACTGGTTTGTTTCATTTTATTACAGCTTTTGTAATTAGTTAATATTGAGAAAATACATTGAAATTATTCAAATAAATATTACCTTCAGAACTTTAAGAATACAATAGTATCCACCTTGTTAGATTTTGAAAGAATTGTTTGGTCAATGGTTTTATGATGGATTGTTATTTTGGTAGCTTAATTTTAACTTCACATAGTTTCAGATTCATGTGACAAATTATTACACAATTTATTACTATAAGGGAGGCATTCTTCTAGAGAGTATCATGTCATATTCAATGGCTCATTAGTCAGTAAATGTTTAAATATATGAATAGCCAAAGATTTTAAAAAAGTAAGAAAAAGTAAAGCCTATTAAGAAAAATTACAGCAACAACTTTTGACTGTTTTCATTGAAGTGCAGGAAAATAGCACTAATAAAGTTGGCATCAATTGACCCTGCCGAACAAATGTAATTTTCCAGTATATACTCATCAATGCAGTGTAACTTTTAAGTATTAACTTATAGGTTATTGTTTTCTTAATATATTCTCCAATTACGTAAAATTGATTTATATTAGAATGCTAATTTTTTTATATTACTTCAAATGTTGGTGGTTGAGCATAATTGTAGCTACTTGTTTTTCCTCTCATATCCATCACATTTACTTACTATTCCTTGACACACCTTTATTGATTAACTGATATCTGACATATTTAGTACTTTCTAGGGACATTTATCCTTGGATTAGGTTTTAGTTAAATCAGGTTTAGGGAAATGTAGTGAAGCTCATAGTAAGGCAATGTTTGTACTTATGGCATATCAGATATTATTGTTATATACATAACATTAACATAGGTTAACTCTTTGATGCTGGTGATAATGGATGATGAAAGTCATAGAGCCTGTGCTGTCTAGTAAGAGTCTCCTGGAATGTCACAATGGACAGTACCAGACTCACATTTATCTCGTGATATGAAGTCTGCTTAAAGTCTTAAGGTAGAAGTGTTTAGGGAAATATACTAAAACTGTTAAGAAAATTGAATTTTTTACATCACATTTCATATCATTCTTAAAAATGTGTCTGAATATGGAAAGTAACACCAAATACAATGAAGTATATTAATTTTCTTTTACAGAAAGACCAGGATCCTGGGGCATTTGATGACTATTTTGCTACAAGTGTTAGGGATGTTTATATGATAAGATATTCATTATTACCTTATTTATATACACTGTTTTATGAGAGCTACAAGAATGGAACACCAGTTGCCAGGGCAATGTTTTATGAGTAAGTTTCTTGATGTGCTTTAAACATTAATAAATAATGATCTAATTAAGCAGGATAATCATATAATTATGTCTACCTTCAAAGAAGAGGTGGTATATTGCTTTGCTAATGTCAATCTTTTTGTCAGTCTGTTCATTGGTAGACCACATGGTTACTCTGATTATCTTAAAAACTTTTTATCACAAAGTCAACATATTTCACATACTGATTGGTCATAACTAGTAGATGACCTCTAATGATTTTAGGGTCACAAGGTCAAAAGTCAAGGTCACAGGGGCCTTGAATGTTAGAATGGTTTCCGCTTGTTATCTTGAAAACAATTTATCACAAAGCATTCATATTTCATGTATTGATTGGTTATATGAAGTAGATGACCCCTAATGATTTTGGGTTCACTACTTCAAAGGTCAAGGTCACAGCTGCGTTGAAGGTTAGAATGGTTTCTGCTCATTATCTTGAAAAATATTTATCACAGAGTCTTGATATTTCACATATTGATTGTTCATTTGTAGTAGAGGATCCCTACAGATTTTTGGGTCACTTGTTCAAAGGTCAAGGTCACAAGGGCCTTAAATATCAGAATGGTTTCTGCTCATTATCTTGAAAAGTATTTATCAGAAATTCTTCATATTTCACATATTGAATAGTCATATGCAGTTTATGACCCCTATTGATTTGGAATCACTAGTTCAAAGATCATATTTCACATATTGGTTAGTCATAATGGGGCATTTCCAAAATGAAAATATTTGAGCTTTGAATTTCATGGAAGGATCAGAAAGGACAGAACAAGCAAAATGAATGGAAAGAGCACAATTAGTATTGGTATGAGGCTAAAGTAAAATGTATTTGTATCTAATTTTGTTGAGTTGGTTGTAACATTGCAAACAACATATTTGTAATAATAAACAGACTCAACTCTTTACTTTTAGATGATAGGTTTATCACTTATATGTAATGAATTTTAGAGAATACTTTAAAAATACAGGTGTAAACATGGCTGTTTTATTGTGTTTGTGTTTCAGGTTTCCCAGTCATAAAGACACATACCATATTGATAGTCAGTTTATGTGGGGACCAGCTCTCCTTATTGTTCCAGTGATAACCAAGGTAATTTCAGTGTGTGTAATTATTACATGCATACAAGTCATGATGGTAGTGGCTCAGGTGTGGTGCATGTTCTGTATAATATTTGTCACTTAGTTACCAAGATGTGGTGCATGTTTTATATAAAAATTGTCACTTCTTACCAAGTTATAAGGAATGTTTTATAAAAGATATGTTGGTTTGTTACCAAGATGTGGTGCATATTAAAATTTTTATAAAAGACATGTGGGTTTTTTTGCATTTTTTCTTTAAGACATGTTGGTTAGTTCCCAAGATTTGTTGCATGTTTTATATAAGACATGTTTGTTTGTTACCAAGATGTGGAGCATGTTATATATAAGACATGTTTGTTTGTTACCAAGATGTGGAGCATGTTATATATAAGACATGTTTGTTTGTTACCAAGATGTGGAGCATGTTATATATAAGACATGTTTGTTTGTTACCAAGATGTGGAGCATGTTATATATAAGACATGTTGGTTTGTTACCAAGATGTGGAGCATGTTTTATATAAGACATGTTGGTTTGTTACCAAGATGTGGAGCATGTTTTATATAAGATATGTTGGTTTGTTCTCAAGATGTGGTGCATGTTATATATAAGACATGTTTGTTTGTTACCAAGATGTGGAGCATGTTATATATAAGACATGTTTGTTTGTTACCAAGATGTGGAGCATGTTATATATAAGACATGTTTGTTTGTTACCAAGATGTGGAGCATGTTTTATATAAGACATGTTGGTTTGTTACCAAGATGTGGAGCATGTTTTATATAAGATATGTTGGTTTGTTCTCAAGATGTGGTGCATGTTATATATAAGACATGTTGGTTTGTTACCAAGATGTGGAGCATGTTATATATAAGACATGTTGGTTTGTTACCAAGATGTGGTGCATGTTATATATAAGACATGTTGTTTTGTTCTCAAGATGTGGTGCATGTTATATATAAGACATGTTGTTTTGTTCTCAAGATGTGGTGCATGTTATATATAAGACATGTTGGTTTGTTACCAAGATGTGGTGCATGTTATATATAAGACATGTTGGTTTGTTACCAAGATGTGGAGCATGTTATATATAAGACATGTTGGTTTGTTACCAAGATGTGGAGCATGTTATATATAAGACATGTTGTTTTGTTCTCAAGATGTGGTGCATGTTATATATAAGACATGTTGTTTTGTTCTCAAGATGTGGAGCATGTTTTATATGAGATATGTTGGTTTGTTACCAAGATGTGGTGCATGTTTTATATAAGACATGTTGGTTTGTTACCAAGATGTGGAGCATGTTATATATAAGACATGTTGTTTTGTTCTCAAGATGTGGTGCATGTTATATATAAGACATGTTGTTTTGTTCTCAAGATGTGGTGCATGTTATATATAAGACATGTTGATTTGTTACCAAGATGTGGAGCATGTTTTATATGAGATATGTTGGTTTGTTACCAAGATGTGGTGCATGTTTTATATGAGATATGTTGGTTTGTTACCAAGATGTTTTTTTCAAGATCTATCATTAAGTTACCAGGATGTAATGAATTGTTTCATTGTTATACACAAAATACAAATACTGATGTGACCTCTTGTTAGATGTTGTTTTGGTTAATTGCATAAAATTCGATATACTTAATTTTTCTAAAATGTTTGAAATTCTCTGACGAAATGGAAAAAAAAACATATTCTTTATATTTGTAGGTACAATAAAAGAACATTTCTGATACACATCATAATTAATAGATTTATAAATCAAGATGATGTTTAACTGTCATTTGTTACATATTTCCAGAATTCCAGAAAAGTGGAGGCATATTTACCAGCTGATAGTCTGTGGTACTCTTTTTACTCTGGATTAAGATTTAAGGGTAAAGGTGAAAATATCACACTATCTGCACCGCTTAACAGTATAAATCTTCTTGTAAAAGGGGGAACCATCATACCAATGCAGGAACCAGGTCTTACAACCTCTCAGAGGTAAGTTCATTTTTTTCTCCCAAAGCTATCAAATTATAGTAATTAATTTCACTCATAACATTTGCAATTGATGAGCTGTTTTCATTCAAAAAAAGGATGTTTCCAAGATAAATAGTTTATGTAAGATGTTATCATATTCAATTTTGTGATCTTGACTGGCATTTGTGAGAATATGTCGAGAGATACTCTACAATAAAAAAACATATTCTCTGATGCAATTGTTACAAATAGAATTACACAAAACGTATCATTCTTGATAGGATGATATAAAAATTACCACTTTTTGTTGATGATTGCAGTATACAGAATGAGTTTTCTTTGCTGGTGTCACTTGGTTTTAATGGCACTGCCTGTGGTTCTTTATACAAAGATGATGGAGATTCTCAAAGTAAGATATCTTAAATACACCGTTTATATTGCTGTCAATAAAATTCTTCATGTTAAATACTAAGAATGTATTTTTTGGTTTGTGTGAAATATGGAATATATACTTTCACGAAACATGATAAAATGCCACATATTTTCACGAGCCACAACAGCAAGTGAAAATATGTGACATCATGTTTCGTGAAAATATGAACCATATTTCACGAAAAAACAAAAAATAACCTTTTAATTTAATTTCATTACCACGATCTGGATTTGACTGTTTGGCGCTACATTGTGACGTCATGTAAACAACTCTTTAAACGTCTGTCCAGCGTTAATGACTGAATTAAAGATATTGGTGTTCGGTTAGACAATTTTCTATCATTGTTAATAGTTTTGAAAACAAAATTCATCAAAAAATTGTTTTTTATTTATCAGACTTTTCAAACAAAATGGCACAAGAAGTCCCTTAAAATAAATATGAGTTTTGACTCTGTCCACTTTCATATTTATATAACATATTTATTTTTTAAATAATAAGAAATATTTTCAACTGATATAGCACCATATTTCATAGGTAAAATTAAATAATAATTATATATTGTTGTAAAGAGAAAATGTTTTATAAATTATGCAGTGAAAGTTTGTAGAATCCATAGGCTTGACAAAAGTAACAAAATACATGTATGTGTATTATTTAATGTCATCAACCATTATATTTAAGATGAATGGATTCAAGTGCATCAGAACAATTTTTGTTAGGTTATCAATTTCATTATATTCTAAAATAAGATAATTGTGTACTACCTTATTTAAACAGAACAAATTTTAAATTGAGGTTGTTATAATTGAACTGCTTTGAAGTAGACCTGTCACAGTGAAACAGATTAGTTTAAATGTCATGAAAAAGAAAATAAATAATATTTATTGAATCAATCTTTAATAATTTTCAGAATCATTGGAGGCAGAAATACATACATTCATCACATTTCATGTGTCAAATGTAAGTTTAACAAACTTTCAATTTATAAACACCAACATTTGTCTAGATTTAGAACTTTATGAACATGTCATGATGTATGTTACAAATGTACTAGTAGTCTCAGAATAGTTAACCCTTAACCTGCTGGAACTCAGAACATGATGAGCCTTTATCATCTGCATACAGTCAGGCCAGCCAGCACATCTGTAAAATCCCACCAGGCTCAGCACTGTTGGTAGCTCCGTTTTTTTTTGTATTTTGATATTGAAATTCATTAAACTTTGAATGAACTGTTCTAAATTTAAAGATTGGCAAATCCATTACACAAAGTCAGCAGCTATATGTATGTACATGTATTTTGTTTCAATTTAAACTGATCTTTAGATTCGTAATGTGAATTATGTGCAAAGGTTAGGTACATAAATAAAAAGAACTGTAATTCTAAATGTTGGTCAGTATGGATTGTTGTTAGTTACAAAAGAGAAATATTTAAAGTGTTTTGAATAAGTGAGTAGTTTTCATTGTTAGTAATTTCACAGTAAGGTTTTACCAAATAACAAGCTTCATGTGAGTCTACCACATGTACTTTAAAATTGTATCTATTGTTTCTATCATGAGAAGACCTTTTGCAATAGATAATTGCTAGAATTCTTGCTGGGACAACACTTACCATTGACCTTTGCACTAGTATGATATATACATGTATTTACATGCATTGTTTATGTTACTGAAACATCATATTTGTATTTACAGAAACGTTTACAGTCCACAATTGTAAAAGCAAGTTATTTATTCAATACAATGCTAAAGAACATAACTATATTTGGAATTGATGCAACACCAGAGAAAGTGATCATGAATGGAGCTTCTCAAGTATTCAGTTATAATACGACTTTAAAGGTAACTCTTGTCATTAGATTATGTACTACAAAGTTTGAACAAAGGAATTTGGGTATTTGTTGTCATAGCATGTTGCCTTGGTTCCCAAACTAAAGTATTATAATAGTGATCTAGCAATATGGGCCACTTTTATGTCATGTTATTTAATGCAGTGATTACTGAGTAATTTACATGTACCTGGCCTAAGGTAATTGAACCGTTCATCTGTCTGTCTGTCCGTCCATTCGTCAGTCACTGAGAGGTTAACCTAAACCGTCAAGTTGAATTTATCTTTTGTTCTACAATTGGCTTCATTATTTACACTTCTCATGTACCAATTGCTTCATAATTTTTACACTAAATAGTCAATACAAAGTACATGATCTTGGCAAGTTACATAATTATTGCCTTCATTTTTTCCAAGTTATTGCCCTTTTCAGCACTTTGAAAGTGGATATGATTAATCTTAAGATATATCAAAGTTCTATCTGTACTAATGGCTTCATAGTTTCCACAATTTCTCATCAAAAAAAGTACATGATATTGCCAAGTTATGTAGCTGTGCCATCTATTTTACCCAGTTATTTCCCTTTTTTATCACTTTGAAAATTGGGCCTGATATGGTTAACTTAACCTATTCCAGCAAGTTAGATTTTTTTTTAATTTCTCCTCATTACTTCAGTTCTTTAATGATATCTTCCATATTTGGTAGGTGGATACCTTTAATGGTCCTCCATTTTTAGCTCACCTGTCACAAAGTGACAAGGTGAGCTTTTGTGATCGCTTTTCGTCCGTCCGTAAACTTTTACTTTAAATGACATCTCCTCATAAACCACTAAGCCAATTTCATCCAAACTTCACAGTAATGTTCCTTTGGTGGTCACCTTTAAAAATTGTTCAAAGAATTTAATTCCATGCAGAACTCTGGTTGTCATGGCAACCGAAAGAAAAAACTTTAAATATCTTCTTTTAAAAAACCCTAAGAGCTAGAGCTTAGATATTTGGCATGAAACATCTTCTAATGAGTGTCTATCAAGTTTTCAAATAAAAGCCCTGGGGTCAAAATTGGCCCCGCCCCAGAGGGTCATTGATTTTCCCTATATGCATATAGTAAAAACTTAAAAAATCTTCTTTTAAAGAACTCAAAGAGCTAGAGCTAAGATCTTTAGCATGAAACATGTTCTAATGGGTGTCTACCAAGTTTGTTCAAATAAAAGCCCTGGGGTCAAAATGGGCCCGCCCCGGGGGGTCATTGATTTTCCTTAAATGTGTATAGCAAAAACTTAAAAAATCTTTGAAAAAACCCAAATAGCTAGAATTTAGATATTAAGCATGAAACATCTTCTAGTGAGTGTCTACCAAGTTTGTTCAAATAAAAGCCCTGGGGTCAAAATTGGCCCTGCCCCAGGGGGTCTTTGATTTTCCTTATATGTGTATAGCAAAAACTTAAAAATCTTTTTCGAAAAAACTGGAATAGCTAGAGTTTAGATATTAAGCATGAAACATCTTCTAGTAAGTTTCTACAAAGACTGTTCAAATAAAAGCCCTGGGGTCAAAACTGGCCCTGCCCCAGGGGTGTCATTGTTTTTAAATATATGTGTAAAGAAAAAAACTTAAAAAATCTTCTTTTAAAAAACCCAACATGCTAGACCTTAGATGTTCAGCATGAAACATCTTCTAATGGGTGTCTACCAAGTTTGTTCAAATAAAAGCCCTGGGGTCAAAATGGGCCCGCCCCGGGGGGTCATTGATTTTCCTTAAATGTGTATAGCAAAAACTTAAAAAATCTTTGAAAAAACCCAAATAGCTAGAATTTAGATATTAAGCATGAAACATCTTCTAGTGAGTGTCTACCAAGTTTGTTCAAATAAAAGCCCTGGGGTCAAAATTGGCCCTGCCCCAGGGGGTCTTTGATTTTCCTTATATGTGTATAGCAAAAACTTAAAAATCTTTTTCGAAAAAACTGGAATAGCTAGAGTTTAGATATTAAGCATGAAACATCTTCTAGTAAGTTTCTACAAAGACTGTTCAAATAAAAGCCCTGGGGTCAAAACTGGCCCTGCCCCAGGGGTGTCATTGTTTTTAAATATATGTGTAAAGAAAAAAACTTAAAAAATCTTCTTTTAAAAAACCCAACAGGCTAGACCTTAGATGTTCAGCATGAAACATCTTCTAATGGGTGTCAACCAAGTTTGTTCAAATAAAAGCCCTGGGGTTTAAACTGGATACAGGTGAGCGACTTCAGGGCCATCATGGCCCTCTTGTTTTGTAGAGTTAGTGGGTCACTTGTCTCAAGGGGTACATGGTGTAAAAAAATGTTTTTTACATTTTTGCTCATACAGCCTTTATTCTTAAATTTATAGCTTTCATGTTTAAGAAGGACATACCTTGGGAGGTCCTGTTCCTTCAGGTTAACTAAGGGGTGATTTATATCAAGATCAACAATGCCAAAAATAAATTTTTACACTTTAACAGGAATAACATTTATGTATTTACAGTTGACTTTTAATATTTGGTAAGAACATAAATTGTCTTCTACCTTTGGATGGAGTAAGGGGTTAGTTGGGTCTAGGTTACCAGGGATAGAAATAGATTTTAAATTACACATTTGCTCAATTATTCTCATACAGCCTTTATTCATTGACAGATGCCTTTCATATTTGGTAGGAAGATAGCTTGCATGGTCTTCTTTCTTTGGATTGAGTTAGGGGTCAGTGGGTCAATGTCAAGGGTGCCAAAAATAGATTCTTACACATTTGCTTATACATACTTTATTTATTGACTGATGTTTTTCATATTTTGAAGGAAATACATTGGATGGTCCAATGTTAGGAATGACATGGTCAATGTCACCTGTGCTAACAATAGATTTTGTAAAGCCTTTATTTCTTATCAATGTCTCACCGTCTCTATTGGAAGGAACATACCTCAGGTTGTCCTTTAAGTTTGTGTGGAGTCACTGTGTTTAAGGTCAAAGTCTTGCATTTATATATACGTACATGTATATATTTTTATTGGTATGCTGAATATTTTCAACTTTATCAAAAAGCAATGACAAGCAAACTTATATTTTTGGTAAGAACAAAAGGTCTGTCATGACTCTGTCAAGTTATAGAAATGTGTTTCCAATATTTTTGGCAATCTCTCTGTCCATAACTGAGTGAATGGGTAAACTTTTTTTGAAAATTTATTACTGACAAGAATCTGAGCTGAGTGCATTACCAAACATGTTATTGATTTTAACAAGTTCATGTATTTATTTGATGAATGGCAATCAGTATTTGCTAGATACATGTGATATTTGGTGAATGGCAACCAATATTTGATAGATACATGTGTTATTTGGTGACTGGAAGCCAGTATTTGCTAGATACATGTGATAATTGGTGAATGGAAGCCAGTATTTGCTAGATACATGTGTTATTTGGTGACTGGAACCCAATATTTGATAGATACATGTGATAATTGGTGAATGGAATCCAGTATTTGCTAGATACTTGTGTTATTTGGTGAATGGAAGCCAGTATTTGCTAGATACATGTGTTATTTGGTGAATGGAAGCTAGTATTTGCTAGATACATGTGTTATTTGGTGACTGGAAGCCAGTATTTGCTAGATACATGTGATAATTGGTGACTGGAAGCCAGTATTTGCTAGATACATGTGATAATTGGTGAATGGAAGCCAGTATTTGCTAGATACATGTGATAATTGGTGAATGGAAGCCAGTATTTGCTAGATACATGTGTTATTTGGTGACTGGAAGCCAGTATTTGCTAGATACATGTGATAATTGGTGACTGGAAGCCAATATTTGCTAGATACATGTGCTATTTGATGAATGGAAGCCAGAATTTGCTAGATACATGTGATAATTTGTGAATGGAAGCCAGTATTTGCTTGATACATGTGTTATTTGGTGACTGGAAGCCATCATTTGCTAGATACATGTGATATTTGGTGACTGGAAGCCAGTATTTGCTTGATACATGTGCTATTTGATGAATGGAAGCCAGAATTTGCTAGATACATGTGATAATTGGTGAATGGAAGCCATCATTTGCTAGATACATGTGATAATTGGTGAATGGAAGCCATCATTTGCTAGATACATGTGTTATTTGGTGACTGGAAGCCAGTATTTGCTTGATACATGTGCTATTTGATGAATGGAAGCCAGTATTTGCTAGATACATGTGATAATTGGTGAATGGAAGCCATCATTTGCTAGATACATGTGATATTTGGTGAATGGAAGCCAATCATTTGCTAGATACATGTGATAATTGGTGAATGGAAGCCAGTATTTGCTTGATACATGTGTTATTTGGTGACTGGAAGCCAGTATTTGCTTGATACATGTGTTATTTGGTGACTGGAAGCCAGTATTTGCTAGATACATGTGATAATTGGTGAATGGAAGCCATCATTTGCTAGATACATGTGATATTTGGTGAATGGAAGCCAGTATTTGCTAGATACGTGTGTTATTTGGTGACTGGAAGCCAATATTTTCTAGATACATATGATATTTGGTGAATGACAACTAATATTTGATAGATACATATGTTATTTGGTGAATGAAAACTAATATTTGCTAGATACATATATTATTTGGTGAATGACAACTAATATTTGATAGATATTAAATGACAGCCAGTATTTTGTAATGTGTTATTGATGGACAAATATATAATTACTGTTTCAGATATCCTTATTGATAATTCATTAATAATCTGTGACTTTATCTTATATTACAGGTTTTAAAAGTACCTTCCTTGAATCCTAAAGTGTTTATGATGAAACCATTTGTACTGGATTGGATGTAAACAGTGTATCCAAGTGTGTAATTTGATAATCAGAGATCTGTGATAGAAATAACATTAAACATTTTATTTCATAATTTTGTTAACAAAAATTGCTTTGGGGCCATTCTATTTCTTCATAAGAGAAAAAAACTGAATTACATGGAATGATTGATTGTTTACAGTTGTATATGGTTTAACATTAAATAAGGGTTGTTTTATCAGTTGTGTTATATGTAACAATTTAGCAGCTTTTTTAAATTAACCATTTGTGAACATTTATTATTTACTTATTACAATAGAAATACTTGTGTTCAACACAATGCATTATTAAATTTGCAAAATTTATGAAAATAATACTTTTAAGCTCATTTGAGAACAGAGGTTAGCATTTCTGATTGCCGTCCATTCTTAGTTGTCTGCATCAGCCATGTAGCAATCCACCTACATCTTCTTAACCACCAGTAGATTTTGACCAAACTTCACAAGTGATGTTTAGTAGGCTCTCTTGGTGAGCAATCTGGGATCATCATGACCCACTTCTTTCTATCTTTATATTTAATTTGTCGTAAATTGCAGATAGCAAGCCAATGCTCATACTTCATATGTATATAATGTATATGTTCACTTATTTTTAGTCCCCTACCGGTTTAACCGGAGGGGACTTTAGGTTTACCCTCCGTCCGTCTGTCCGTCCGTCTGTCTGTCAGTCCGTCCGTCCACAAAACTGGATCCCGGGACAACGCAAAAAGTACTGAAAATATTTTTATGAAACTTGATATATGGATAGATGGCAGTATGGAGATTATGCACGTCTTTTTTTTTTCTTCCTATGTTGAAAATTCTGGTTGCTATGGCAACAAATAGTCTGAAAATATGGCAAATTTAACACATAAACTGGATCCAGTGATAACTCAAAAAGTACTGAAAATATTTTTATGAAACTTGAAATATGGGTAGATGGCAGTCTGGAGATTATGCACATCTTTTTTTTCTTCCTATGTTGAAAATTCTGGTTGCTATGGCAACAAATAGCCTGAATTTCAAGATTTTCTGATTTAAATTTTTCAGCTTTTTCACTATATGTTCTTTATTTCTTAAGGTGTTTACTTCAAACTTTAAATATAAGTTTCTGGTCATCAACCACATCATATGTGACAAGGTTTATAACTCTAGCACAAAAAATATCAGTATTACCTCCCTTGAACTTAGATTTTTTAGGGGAAAAAAATGTTGTCTTTTTAGCTCGACTTTTCTATGAAAAGGGGAGCTATCCTACTCGCCCCGGCGTCGGCGTCGGCGTTGGCGTCACACCTTGGTTAAGTTTTTCGTACCACCCCACTTTATTTCAGAAGTATTACAAGTATGGCTTTGAAACTTACCATACTTGTTCACCATCATAACCTCCATCTACAGACAAGAGTACATAACTCTGTCAAGGTTTTTGACAGAATTATGGCCCTTTTTTGACTTAGAAAGTGTATTGAGCTTGGTTAAGTTTTTTGTACCACCTCACTTTATTTCAAAACCATTGGAGGTATTGCTTTGAAACTGACCATACTTGTTTACCATCACGACCTTCATCAACAGACAAGAGGACATAACTCTGTCAAGGTTTTTGACAGAATTATGGCCCTTTTTTGACTTAGAAAATACATTGAATATGGGTAAAATCCACTTATTGCCTTAACCCTTTGAGATATTGCTTTGAAACTTTTAATGCTATTTCACATCATTACCCCCATCTGTACGCAAGAGAAGGTAACTCTGTCAAGGATTTGTTTTAAAAATTAAGGCCTTTTATCGACTTAGAATCTTGGTTAAGTTTTTAGTACCAGTCCACTTTTTGACTGAACTGTTTGAGATATTAATTTGAAAGTTGGAATACTTGTTTACAATCATGATTCCCAAACATGTCCAGGAGAAGGTAATTCTGTCAAAGATTTTATTTGAATTATGGCCCTTAACTGTCAATGTTTTGTATTATAGGCAAGCACTAAAAAACTTAAAAAATCTAAAAAAATTCATTCCTATCCACTTGTTCACTTTACCATAAATTATGTCATAATAAAATAATTCTTCACTAAATATCTTAATGCTCATGGCCATTGTTCACTTTAAAAATACAGAGATTCTTGTATTGCCTTTTACTGCAAAAACTTTTTTTATTGGCAAGCAATAAAAAAGTCGAGCGCGCTGTCTTACGGACAGCTCTTGTTTAAATAACTTCTTTATTTCCTGATGTATCTACTTCAAACTTCATATATATGTTTCTTATTATCACTCAACATTTTTGAGAAGGTTAAATACTCTAGCAAGACTATTTCCAGCATTATGTCCCTCTTGAACTTAGATTTTTTTCGAGAAACTGGTATTTTCACTCCAACTTCTTTAATCCTTATAGGATTTACTTTAAAATCCCACATCGTAATAATATGACAAGGTTGTATAAACATAATTTCCTTACTAAGCATGGAAACTTAACACATTACTGTGATATAGACAAACTTATTTTATTATGTTTTGTGGTCGATATTTTCAAATACAGACTTCATCCTCAAATTCATTATAAATGGCAATACACAGGAGTGTATGACAATTAAAGAACTTTTTGAGGGACCGGTAGGGGACTACTGTATTGCCCGCAATACTATCAAATGCTTGTTTTATATGATATAAGGTGTTTTGATTGTATATATGAGTGCCTGTGCAAGTGTGTGTCTGTGTGAGTTTACATTGCTCACATGGGTGTGTGTATGAGTGATTTTGGTCTTTATAATGATCTACAATTACTGTTAGATCTGTTTCTTTATTTGCCTAGAATTGTTTGTGCCATATACATCTAGCGACTTTTAATGTGGTTTGAGTCGTTATTTGTTTTTTTAATGATATATGATTAAATGTTTGTTTATTCTTATGGTGCTAGGTTTATGTTAACTGCATATACATACATGAAAGCACACATTTTACAGTATATAATTTAACAGGCTATTTACTTTAGTTGTCATACATTTATTTATTGTTTAATCCCCTTCTACAAAGAGGGGAGCAAATTATAGGAATGGCCTCTGTCTGTCAATCCATAACACTTTCATTTCCGCTCCATAACTTTTAAACCGCTGAAATTTTTTTGAAATAACTTGGCACAAGTGTCACCATTCTGGGATGATGTGCAGAGCACAATATCTTGGTTGTTACCCACAAGGTCAAGATCACACTTAAAGGTCAAGTGTTAAAAAGTCTACATTTCTTTTCCTCCCTTGAACTTTTAAACCACTGTAAAAAATTTGAAATAACTTAGAACAAGTGATCACCAGTATGACACCATGTGCAGAATACAACAATCAAGTCACTACCTTTAAGGTCCGGGGTACACTCAAAACATCTATATTTCATGTCCACTCTGTAGCTTACTGATAATTCAAAGGTTTTTAAATTACTTCCCACCAATGATTCCATCATGACAAAATATGCAGAGGGCAACATCAAGGCTGCTACCCCCAAGTTACATCCATGTTGCTACCCCCAAGGTCAAGGTTATATGTTTTCCATAATTGTTTGACTTTATGGAATATTTTTGGCCGGGTTGCACTGGTGCAAACCCGGGTTATAGTATGGTGAATGTTGGGCGGCGGGCGGGCGGGCGTCCGGGCGACGGGCTGGCGGGGAAAAAAACTTTCGTAACAGTTTTCTCAGCAACTACTTATCACAGCCTCTTGATATTTGGCATACAGCATTGACACATAGTCCCATACTGTGGGATCTGATTTCAGGTCTGTCACTCATCCACTTCCTGTTTATCCACTTAGTTAAATTAGTTAGATTTTTCGACATTAATGGCCAATGCTAGGAAATTTTCGTAACAGTTTTCTCAGCAACTACTTATCACAGTCTCTTGATATTTGGCATACAGCATTGACACATTGTCCCATACCGTGGGATTTGATTTCAGGTCTGTCGCTCATCCACTTCCTGTTTATCCACTTAGTTAAATTAGTTAGATTTTTTGACATTAATGGTCAATGGTAGGAAATTTTCGTAACAGTTTTCTCAGCAACTACTTATCACAGCCTCTTGATATTTGGCATACAGCATTGACACATGGTCCCATACTGTGGGATCTGATTTCAGGTCTGTTGCTTATTCCACTTCCTGTTTATCCACTTAGTTAAATTAGTTAGATTTTTTGACATTAATGGTCAATGCTAGGAAATTTTGTAACAGTTTTCTCTGCAACTACTTATCACAGCCTCTTGATATTTGGCATACAGCATCGACACATGGTCCCATACTGTGGGATTTGATTTCAGGTCTGTCGCTCATCCACTTCCTGTTTATCCACTTAGTTAAATTAGTTAGATTTTTCGACATTAATGGTCAATGCTAGGAAATTTTCGTAACAGTTTTCTCTGCAACTACTTATCACAGTCTCTTGATATTTGGCATACAGCATTGACACAACGTCCCATACCGTGGGATTTGATTTCAGGTCTGTCGCTCATCCACTTCCTGTTTATCCACTTAGTTAAATTAGTTAGATTTTTTTGACATTAATGGTCAATGCTAGGAAATTTTCGTAACAGTTTTCTCAGCAACTACTTATCACAGCCTCTTGATATTTGGCATGCAGCATTGACACATGGTCCCATACTGTGGGATTCGATTTCAAGTCTGCAGCTCATCCACTTCCTGTTCACATTAATGGTCAATGGTAGGAAATTTTCCTAACATTTTTCTCAGAAACTACTAATCACAGCCTCTTGATATTTGGCATACAGCATTAACACATGGTCCCATACTTTGGGATTCGATTTTAGGTGTGTAGCTAGTCCACTTCCTGTTTACCTACTGAATTAAATTTTCGACATTAATGGGTCAGTGGAAAATTTTTTTCGTAACATCACAGCCTCATGATATTTGGTGTACAAATGCAACCCGGCCTTTTCTGTCTTTGACCCATTTTTAAAAACTTGGCACAAAAAATTACCATCATAGGACTATGTACTTATGATATGCATTGCACAACATCAAGGTTATGGTTTGTTAAAGGTCAAGAAGAACACATGCATGTCCACTTCAGAAGGGGATTTAGCTGTCCTTCAGACTGACTTGTTTAATTTGAAAATGCAATGATAAAAGCATTTGGTTGAAGAGTGGCTTAATGAAGGTAAAATAGAAGATTGGGTATGATTGATGTTGATACATTTTTAGCTCACCTGTCACAAAGTGACAGGGTGAGCTTTTGTGATCGCTTTTCGTCCAGTGTCCGTCCGGCGTCCGTCCGTCTGTAAACTTTTACTTTAAATGACATCTCCTCATAAACCACTAAGCCAATTTCATCCAAACTTCACAGGAATGTTCCTTTGGTGGTCACATTTAAAAAATTGTTCAAAGAATTTAATTCCATGCAGAACTCTGGTTGCCATGGCAACCGAAAGAAAAAACTTTCAATATCTTCTTTTAAAAAAACCCTAAGAGCTAGAGCTTAGATATTTGGCATGAAACATCTTCTAGTGAGTGTCTACTAAGTTTGTTCAAATATAAGCCCTGGGGTCAAAATTGGCCCTGCCGCAGGGGGTCATTGATTTTCCCTATATGCATATAGTAAAAACTTAAAAAATCTTCTTTTAAAGAACCCAAACAGCTAGAGCTAAGATATTTAGCATGAAACATCTTCTAATGAGTGTCTACCAAGTTTGTTCAAATAAAAGCCCTGCGGTCAAAATTGGCCCCTCCCCAGGGGGTCATTGGTTTTCCCTATATGCATATATAGTAAAAACTTTAAAAAATCTTCTATTAAAGAACTCAAAGACCTAGAGCTAAGATATTTAGCATGAAACATGTTCTAATGGGTGTCTACCAAGTTTGCTCAAATAAAAGCCCTAGGGTCAAAATTGGCCCCGCCCCGTTGATTTTCCTTATATGTGTATAGCAAAAACTTAAAATCTTCTTTTAAAAACCCCAAATAGCTAGAGTTTAGATATTAAGCATGAAACATCTTCTAGTAAGTGTCTACAAAGTTTGTTCAAATAAAAGCCCTGGGGTCAAAACTGGCCCGGCCCCAGGGGTGTCATTGTTTTTAACTATATGTGTATAGTAAAAACTTTAAAAAATCTTCTTTTAAAAACCCAATGAGCTAGAGCTTAGATGTTTAGCATGAAACATCTTCTTATGGGTGTCTACCAAGTTTGTTCAAATAAAAGCCCTTGGGTTAAAATTGGCCCTGCGGGGGTGGGGGCCTATATACAGGTGAGCGACCTCAGGACCATCATGGCCCTCTTGTTTATATTCTATATTTCACGTTAGACATTAGCTCTGTCATTGAAAACAAAAACAGGTTCTTTTATTAGCCACATAAGTGTTTACACTAACTGTTGTAAGTGGTATTTAAAGCTTCATGATTTAAGAGCATTTATTCATGTTTGTATCTTAAAGAAATATTTTTCATTTATCATATTCATACTGGAATAATTGTAATAAAATCTACTTGTTGTAGTTTTCTGTTAAATATACGCTATTTGAGCTGGGAATGCATTTATTTTTGTAATACACGTATATGAAAAACGAGCAATAAACAAACTATAGAAATATTTTCGTGTTTTCTGTATTTTATATGTGATAAGCTGACTCCCTTGATTTCAATATTGAGGGGACTCAAATGATTTTTAGCTCACCTGACCACGAAGTGGTCATGATGAGGTATAGTGATGGGGCTATGTCCGGCGTCCGTCGTCGTGCGTTGTTCGTCGTCAACAATTGGGTTGTTAACAGTCTAGCAGTCACAGTTTTGATTGGATCATCATCAAACTTTGTCAGAATGTTTGTCTCAATGAAATACAGATCGAGTTCGAAGATGGGTTATCTCGGGTCAAAAACTAGGTCACAGGAGCTAAAAATAAAAAAAGCTTGTTAACACTCTAGAGGCTGCAGTTTTCATCCAAATATTCTGGAAATTTGTCAGGAAGGTTGTTTTGATGATATCTAGGTCAAGTTCGAAGATGGGTCATCTCCGGTCAAAAACTAGGTCACAGGAGCTAAAAATAGGAAAAGCTTGTTAACACTCTGGTGGCTGCAGTTTTCATCCAAATATTCTGGAAATTTGTCAGGAAAGTTGTTTTGATGATTTCTAGGTCAAGTTTGAAGATGGGTCATCTCCGGTCAAAAACTAGGTCACAGGAGCTAAAAATAGAAAAAAGCTTGTTAACACTCTACTGGCTGCAGTTTTCATCCAAACAATTTGGAAATATTTCAGGAAGGTTGTTTTGATGATTTCTAGGTCAAGTTCGAAGATGGGTCATCTCAGGTCAAAAACTAGGTCACATGAGCAAAAAATAGAAAAAGCTTGTTAACACTCTTGTGGCTGCAGTTTTCATCTAAATATTCTGGAAATTTGTCAAGAAGGTTGTTTTGATGATTTCTAATTCAAGTTCAAAGATGGGTTATCTCCGGTCAAAAACTAGGTCACAGGAGTTAAAAATAGAAAAAGCTTGTAAACACTCTAGTGGCTGCAGTATTGAGTCAAAAATTCAAGAAATTTGTCAGGAAGGTTGTTTTGATGATTTCTAGGTCAAGTTTGAATATGGGTCGTGTCCGGTCAAAAATTAGGTCACATTGCCCAAATATGTAAAAATCTTTATAACACACTAGAGGTCACATGTTTGACTCAGTTGTCATCACACTTGGCCATGATGCTTGTTTAAGACATTGCTTGGATGCGGTTGTGTCAGGTGAGCGATCCAGGGCCATCATGGCCCTCTTGTTTTAATTATTTTTATTTTTAATGATTGCCCGGATTATTCCTCTTATATCATTAAAGCAATTTCAATGAAACTTTACAGGATTCATTGGTAGGTTAAGTACTTGCGCATATTACACGGATACTCCGCTTGAATGATTTTTGGCTGACTTATGGGCCTTGAATGAAAAGGGTGTTAATAAAGTTTATTGACTGCTCCTCTTATGCCACTTATGTAATTTCATTGAAACTTTACAGGATTGATTGGTAGGTCAAGTTATTGTGCATAATATACAAGTTTTGCACTTGAACGATTTTTGACTTTTTGAGGTATTGCCCTTGAATTAAAAAGGTGTTGTTTTCTTGTGTTGCCAGCCACTGGGCTACTCCTAATGAACTACTGGTGCAATTTCATCAAAACTTTAGGGGAATGATCAATACAATGCATATGTCTAGTTGTGCATCTCTTCAACATTTTCCGGTTCTTTTGTCAGAGTTAATGATTTTAATTTTTTTAAATTTGTTCGGACTACTCCTATTATACCACTTATTGAATTTCAATGAAACTTTTCAGGAGTGATCAGTAGCTTAATTAAGTCCTTATGCATATTACATAAGTTTTTAGGTGGAATGATATTTTGCCGAGTTATGGCTATCATAAGGCGACACATGTGATCACTACTCGCTCTTGTTTTTGACATGACGAGACTGGATTATTTTTTGAGAATTGTGTACCATTTAATTGATGTAGGTATGGACAAATAACTTCTGTGCAAAAAATTTGATCATTTGCTCACGCCGTTATTCCAGAATTACTATCAATCCAAAAATTAAACTTTGTAGAAAAGTTTATAGAGGATGGATTTTATAGCTGTCATTGTGTTCCTGTATTTTTGTACTTTTAGAGTTTATTGTAACATTATCTTTTAAAATATCATGAAGTATGAATACTTCTAAAGAAACAATTACTTCTGTAAGGATATAGTTCTCCAATTACATTCCACGTTGTGATATATGCTTCATGCAAAGATAAATGATGCATAATCCTTCCACACCTCACTCCCTCACTCTCCCCCCCCCCCCCCCCCCCCGACCATTCTGCTCCCATCTTAGAAATGATTTTACATATCTCATATCTTTCATTATTGCCACAGAGTAATAGTATTGGTGTAACTGTTCACGTTCCAGGATTAACCTGTTTTTGTTATAAGTAATTTAAAGAGAAAATGAAATGAAAAAAAAACAATATCAGAAGTAAGCTATCAATAGTAAATTCGCAATCTGTCCATGTTTAAAGCTACATTAAATAAATATGTAAAATTATTTTGCCGTCTGCCTAAAAACCAAGCATTCTACAGTTTCATTAACCTTTTTAACAATAATTATGTAAATTTCATCAAATACTATTCATAAATTGGGATTTTAAACGGAAAACTACACGGTAACACTAAAGTTCGTATACGAATTTTAACATGCAAATGAAGACTATAATCAGCTCGTGTATGCGCTTCGTCACGGTCTTATAGCTGCTATCCGGAACACAACAAATATGAGATTACACTTAAACCGTTTTAGCTTCACGGTGCACTAGGCCTGGGGTTCAGAAAAAAGAAATCATCTCATAAAAAAAAGATTAAATTTGTATGAAAACATCCGTTACAATGCTGAAAAGTACCGTTATTGTTTGGTTTTATTAACCTGTCAATTACATACTGATTACACGGTCGATGCACACAGTATATTAATCTTCTGTAGATTTTCGGTAAGTTCCGTGAGATGTACGTTGTACGATGGAATTTAATTTAATTTGTATCCATAAACTAAGTGAACTCAGCGTTATAGCGCAATAGGGTAAGGCACGAGTTTATAATCTAACTGCCACACGTGTTTTAAGTTCGAGACCGCGTTGGTCCATGTTTTTTTTTCTAATTAATACTTTCAGCATTATTGATGCTATATATGATTATTTTATATTGTCCGTTTTGTTTTATTATGTTTTACTTAATTTTGTTATTCTATAATCATTTAAATAACATGTTTTAAGAATTCATGTTAAAAAATTAGAACGGATTAAAATCAATAAATGTCTTTTCAATGCCGTAAAACACACTACAAATTTGTTCCATTAAAATATACTGCAAAAATAAAGAAAGAGTATTAGTGGCAACAGTAAGGATCGAACCACAGACCTCTCAATTATCAGGCATTCTCTTAACCGACTGTCCTATTGTGAATTAACGAAAACCTTCACATTAAGCTGGTGTGACTTTCAATCCATGACTAATATACTCCACATTAATTCTCGTAAACTACACGGACCAAACCGAAGTGGGATCGAATATTTAAATGAGTCCTGTAATGTATTCAGAATTGACAGGTCAATAAAATCAGACTATAAATTAGGACTGCTACTAATAGTCATGTTTGTTGATTTGATATTGATGTACAGATGATCTGACAGGCGGAGTTTCTCATGCAAACTGAAATTGTACTTCCAATTTCGCCACAATGAGGATGCACCCTTTTTATGCTTATAAAAACTCATTTTTTGGTTGTCTGGACACCAAAGTAAGATCTGGGGTCGAAACCCCAAATTTGTTAATGAAATGTCGCTATTTCTGTTTTTATGAAATTTTATTTAATGTAGCTTTAAAGGATATTAAACGCTTTATGACAAAGAGAAAATAGCTAATTCATCGATTTTTACATGTAGCATTGTTAATTGACACGGGTTTTAAGTTCCTTAATATGCATTTATTAAATATGTATCTATACATTGTTATGTTGCAAATAAGAGATACAAGAATACATTGGTTTATTAAAACAATTTGTGAAACTTAACACCAATTTCTATGTGTAGTTTCAGCGTGACGGTAGAAATCGATGAACTAAACAGTCAAGCTAATCAGTGGGGCATGATGGTTGTTTGCTATAAATTACATGTTGACTACATTATATTACAGTAAAACATATATGTGTATATGTAATTTCAACTATAAAGATAAACAAATAGAGAGTCTGTACGTATGATATGGTTTAACTTCTTGTGTATCTTATTTGTGGATTTAACTAACAAAGGTATGTGCAGTTCTACAAGCAGTTTTTTTGTTTTGTTTTAAAAACGATATAATAGATAGGATTCGGAAACTAGATCTAACATCAACGCAGGTTTAACCTCGTCATGCACGCTAACCAGAAAGGGAGGGAAGTAATTAGATTGTTTACATTATATAATGTACTGGAAAACAGTACTTACAGTAGCTCTAGTACATGTAGTACATAGTATATATGATGTAAATATCAAAACACCATCAAAGGTGAAAAGTTGAATGGCATGTTATATAGTTATGCGAAATGTTCAATATACATATATATACAGTATATGTTCGATATTATATTCAATATTAGTAATATCAGGAAGTGAACACCTTATTTACAACTATTAATAAACGTTTCATCACTTATTTCGTTTTCTCCTCGTCATTTTATTTTCGTTTATTGTTTATACATATACATTTAATGTTAGAGTATTAAAAAAATATCCTATCCTAAACTTAAATCTCAGGTCAATAAATTTTAGGTGTAAAACATGACAGAAAGTTCTATAGATATCCAAAGGTTGACGTTGGTAGGTATAGGTGTAATGGTATCCTTCCTGATGGTTAACTTTTTATTTGGAATGACTGTTGATGTAACATGGATGACAAAGACAACATCTCAGAATTCTGAAGAAGACAACGTTAACAACAAAGTGCTCACTATTCAAATACCAAGGTACGGGGGTGATTCAGCAGAAAATACGATATATTACCACGTGAGTGAAGACTTACGTTTTAATATCGTAAACACAAGTAACATTAAAGATAAGGAACGTTATATGTTAGATCAAACATTATCAGAAAAACAATGCGACATACAAATCCCATCACAGAAATTTGACTGTTTCCCTGAGAAGTCTGTTACTGAAGAGGGTTGTTTAGATAGGGGATGTTGTTGGCAAAAAGATTTAAGCAGACGATTACCCATACAGTCAATGAACGAAAATGACACACAATCACCTGTAGACGTACCATACTGCTTCTATCCCAGAAACTTTCCTGGATATTCTGTGGATGAAAGAACAGATACACCACTAGGATTTAGTATGAAACTTACAGGGAAACCTCCGACATATTATCCTAAAGGTGTTACACAACTGGCTGTAGACGTTAGTTATGAGACGGATCAAAGGTTACATGTCAAGGTAAATTTATTTATTTATTTTGTTATTTATTGAAACTAAATACATTGTATTTATTTATATATTTATTTATTTATAAGCATGCATATCTCTGTAAATAAATTAATTCAGGAAGTTTAATCACATATCTTATTAAGAATATGTTCGGACTTTTTTGTCTCAGATATTCAAGGAGCTATTTATATTTTTCAGCTCCAACAGCATAGCACTGTAACAATATATTGTTTCCCATATACATGTATTCTCAAACCACGATCAATACAGGTGTTTGTTATCCTTTTTCTGTATTTATAAAATGAGCCGCGTCACGACAAAACCAACATAATGTGTTTGCGACCAGCATGGATCCAGACCAGCCTGCGCATCCGCGCAGTCTGATCAGGATCCATGCTGTTCGCTTAAGACCCAATAACAAGTAAAAAAAATTGATAGCGAACAGCATGGATCCTGATCAGACTGCGCGGACGCGCAGGCTGGTCTGGATCCATGCTGGTCGCAAACCCATTATGTTGGTTTTGTCGTGACGCGGCTCGGCTCAAATATTGTTGCTCAACATTTCATGTAGTTATTACATGTCATCAGATATCAAGTGACTTCCCTCAGTAAGTGAACCTGTTTTATATGTCCATATCTTTATTCACATCGCCTTCTTTATTCATCCATTTTATTGAAACGTTTTATGAGAGATCATTTATGCTTTTAAGGTGCATAAACCTATAAAAAGCTGATAAAGTTGTATTTTGTGAAAGTACAAGTTTAAACACATAAGTACTTGTTTCACAGGAACTTAAAATGTCAAATTTATATCTGTTAATGTTTATTTTTCTGCCGTAAATAAACAGAGAAAATGAATTGTTCTTGTTCCCATGTCGGGCAATCGAAAGGACAACAAAAATGCAATTTGCATACATAAAATTGTTATGTAATTGTTGAAGAATAACAGTTTTATCATTTCTATCGAAGGTTTATGATCCCAATAACAAACGTTATGAAGTTCCCATAAGAGTTCCCCGACCTGACAAAAAAGCAACTGCTCCCAGCTATGTAGTAAATGTAAGTGAGACAGGAACACCTTTTTGGCTTAGTGTCACTAGACGATCTGATAACACTGTCATGTAAGTAATATACTAGAAGCATGTTTCAGCTTCCTAAACTCTAAAACTTATAACAGTTCTCACTACATTATATTCACTCTGTACAAGGATCGAGGGTTCGAATCCTAGGCTGGTCACCACCATGCTTCATCATGATCACAGTTCTATTGCAAACGAGGAAGCGGAATTGAACGCTGTAAATGCCAATTTCTTGAAAAGCATGTTTAAGGTTTAAAAAGTCAACTTATTAATATATTACACAAAACTATTGTAATTTGCCTGATTTTAAAGTTTATTATAGAAACAGCTAATATTAGGTACTAGTAAATCAAGATTTGGTCTACTGGTCTACAAATAGAGAATGACAGACCATATGAATTCGCGCTTTGTATTTTCACTTGGCACTACTAGTATTTTCTTAGCTGTAATGATTTTTTCTTTACAGATTTTCAACAAAAGGAGCGGCACCATTGATTTTTACAGATCAATTTCTTCAACTATCATCTCTACTTCCCTCATCATATATTTATGGTATTGGTGAACATAGAAATAATCTCATGTTGAATGTAAACTGGACTAGGAAAACACTGTGGAACAGGGACCAGTATCCAATTGTTCGTATATAAAAGCAAACTTTTATAAATCCCTTTTTAGCTCACTTGTCACAAAGTGACAGGGTGAGCTTTTGTGATCGCTTTTTGTCCGGCGTCCGTCCGGCGTCCGTAAACTTTTACTTTAAATGACATCTCCTCATAAACCACTAAGCCAATTTCATCCAAACTTCACAGGAATGTTCCTTTGGTGGTCACCTTTGAAAATTGTTCAAAGAATTTAATTCCAAGCAGAACTCTGGTTGCCATGGCAACCAAAAGAAAAAACTTAAAATATCTTCTTCTAAAAAACCCAAAGAGCTAGAGCTTAGATTTTTGGCATGAAACATCTTCTGGTGAGTGTCTACCAAGTTTGTTCAAATAAAAGCCCTTGGGTCAAAATTGGCCCCGCCCCAGGGGGTCATTGATTTTCCCTATATGCATATATAGTAAAAACTTAAAAAAACTTCTTTTAAAAAACCAAAAGACCTAGAGCTAAGATATTTAGCATGAAACATCTTCTAATGGATGTCTACCAAGTTTGTTCAAATAAAAGCCCTGGGTCAAAATTGGCCCCCGCCCCAGGGGGTCATTGATTTTCCCTATATACATATAGTAAAAACTTTTAAAAAATCTTCTTTTAAAGAACCAAAAGAGCTAGAGCTAAGATATTTAGCATGAAACATCTTCTAATGGATGTCTACCAAGATTGTTCAAATAAAAGCCCTGGGGTCAAAGTTGGCCCCACCCCAGGGGTCATTGATTTTCCATTTATAGATATAGTAAAAACTAAAAAAAAACTTCTTTTAAAGAACCAAAAGAGCTAGAGCTAAGATATTTAGCATGAAACATCTTCTAATGGATGTCTACCAAGATTGTTCAAATAAAAGCCCTGGGGTCAAAGTTGGCCCCACCCCAGGGGGTCATTGATTTTCCATTTATACATATAGTAAAAACTTCTTTTAAAGAACCCAAAGAGCTAGAGCTAAGTTATTTAGCATGAAACATCTTCTAATGGGTTTCTACCAAGTTTGTTCAAATAAAAGCTCTGGGGTCAAAATTTGCCCGGCCCTAGGGGTCATTGATTTTTCTAAATTTCCTTATATGTGTATAGGAAAAACTTAAAAAATCTTCTTTGGAAAAAACTAAATAGCTAGAGTTTAGATATTAAGCATGAAACATCTTCTAGTGATTGTCTACAAAGTTTGTTCAAATAAAAGCCCTGGGGTCAAAATTGGCCCTACCCCGGAGGTCATTCATTTTCCCTATATGTGTAAAACCTTAGCAAAAATTGAAAATTCTTCTTTGAAAAAACTCAAATAGCAAGAGTTTAGATATTAAACACGAAGCATCTTCTAGTGAGTGTCTTCAAAGTTTGTTCAAATAAAAGCCCTGGAGTCAAAATTGGCCCGCCTCGGGGGACATTGATTTTCCTTATATGAGTATAGCAAAAACTTAAAAATCTTCTTTTAAAAAACTCCAATAGCTAGAGTTTAGATATTAAGCATGAAACATTTTCTAGTAAGTGTCTACAAAGATTGTTCAAATAAAAGCCCTGGGGTCAAAACTGGCCCTGCCCCAGCTGTGTCATTGTTTTTAACTATATGTGTAAAGAAAAAACTTTAAAAAATCTTCTTTTAAAAATCCCAACGAGCTAGACCTTAGATGTTTAGCATGAAACATCTTCTAATGGTTGTCTTCAAAGTTTGTTCAAATAAAAGCCCCGGGCTTTAAACTAGCCCTGGTCCGGGGGCCTATGTACAGGTGAGCGACTTCAGGGCCATCATGGCCCTCTTGTTTTAATGAATGATGGTTATAAACAATATTCTACGTTTTATTGTAAAGTTTAAGTGTGTGTTGTAAAATACTACTTTACCTTCATTTATTTATAGTAACATTATGTTATAAAAGTTAATATGTTGAAATTAGAGAAGTTTTAGTTTATCAAGGTCATTGCAGTTTCACGTGATAGTGTATCATAAAAGCGTTCGTGTAAGGTTACAATTATGTATCTATAAAAAGAAAAAAAGTACAGGAAATTTGTAGACTTCATTACGATAAAGGCCAGATGTATATGCATTTAAAACGCCCTTCGGGGCCGATTCAAACTTTACGCTTAGTTCATCCTTTATTATGAAGACATGAGTTTAAACCTTAAATGCATTTAATTTTAATCCTTTTAACATTCGTACATGCATGTACATAATGTAGCAATTCTATTGTTAGGAAAATAGGAACATGTATGGATCACATCCTTACTATCTAGTCATGGAAGAAAGTGGAAAAGCAAATGGTTTCTTTCTGTTGAACAGTAATGGAATGGGTGAGATCATTTGTAATGATGCTTTGACGGTTTCTATCATTAAAAAGAAAACGCATTATTATATATGTCCGAGTTACTTCAATACACTGCCTTAATCGTTGACAGTTTGTTGTGCAGTTACACATGCAGAAGCACGAGGGTGCATTTAAAGCCCGTGCCCCGAGATATTAAGCACGTGCACCAACGGTGCGTGGTCATGAGAGTCTATCCATTAATTCGTGTTTTCTTCTGCGTAAATGTATACATGCGTGCGCAGTTTTTATGCAAGAATATTGTATCAAGTTTGCTGTCACAACCATTTTTGAGTGTTCTTACATATCTGAATGAATTTTACTCGTTACATAAAGTCAAAGATTTTGATGTTTGTAATGTATTTGTGTGTTGTTCTTTTTAGATGTGATACTGCAGCCATATCCTGCTGTAACATGGAGAACTATCGGTGGTATACTAGATTTCTATGTTATTGTTGGTGATAGGCCTGCTGATGTCGTCAAAGATTATACAAATATAGTGGGTCGCACTTTCATGCCGCCATATTGGAGTCTCGGATTTCATATTTGTAAATTTGGATACAAGTCTGTGAATGACACGATGATGGTTGTTAACAGAGTAGAAAGCGGAGATTACACTCATGTAAGACTAGATAATGTTAGGACTTTATAGAGCATTATCCGTTACTAGTACTATTACCATACTTGTATAACTGATTCTATACTATTACCATATTATATACTCTTATATGACTAGATATCTTCTGTGATTAGAGGTATATATCGTTTATATAAAACAATCTGTACGCAAATGTATGTCATTTGTGCTGTGTGGAACGATATTAATGTTTCATATAACACTATTTTAACCATTTGTATAAAACAGGATACACAGTGGAACGACATTGATTATGCTGTGGGACAGCTGGATTTTACTACAGATGTAGAAAGATTTGGTGACCAAAGAGCCATGATAGATGAACTCCATAACCGAGGGATGAAATATATAATAATTACGGTATGTTTAAGCTTTAACAAATGTGGTAGGAATAGAATATAAAACTGACAACGTTTTGTATCTTGAGGAAATAAAAAGTTTTTTCTCTTCACTTCCTTTCTTAGTCTTATAATAATGTGCGACTGTAATGTATTATTATTAACACGTGTACAACCGTTGTCATATTATCCATAGGACTTCATTGCAACACGCCCGCGATACCAATTGTTTTCATATTTTAACTTAAAAAGACAACTTTAAAGCAAAAAGAAAGATAAAAAAAAAACAAGATATATAAATAAATAGGATCTTTAAATCTAATCAATTTGTAAAAAGCAAATCAAACGTTGACGTTTTACTCCAATATTAGATTTAAATGATTTAGAGACACATTTGAAGCAGTGTTCCAAAAATACGTAAGGTGACTTTTGTGATTAATAATTGATGTCAATTTACACATATTGCGTTTATAAAAAGGTTAAAAGTAAAATCATTTATATAATAGGATCCCGGTATTAGCTATACCCAACCAAGAGGAGCTTATCGTCCGTACGACCTTGGAGTTGAGATGGACATTTTCATAAAGAATGAATTGAACAAGCTTTTCGTTGGTCGGGTGAGTATTAATTTTATTATGATATAATCTTTGTAATATCTTCTTCCAATTAAAGCTTCCGTTGCGTTTAAGCAGTTACTTTTGATTTAATATGGCGATCTTACATAACGTTTTTATTCACCAAGAACTAACAACGTAACTTTTTTGTTAAAGTTATTGCCAGTTATTTCCTCTTTCAGATGTTAACAAGTATGAATGGAGACTTATAGTTTTGCAAATGTTTTCGATGCCAAACGACCAAAACTATTTGAACGTAACTTAAAATATAAACTTTATATATGTACAACATAAGTCAAGAATGAATGTCTTTTACGATTTCTAGTTATGGCCAGGACCCACGGTGTTTCCTGACTGGAGCAATGAGAAATCCCAGCTATACTGGGCAACTGTGATTGGAGAATTTTGGAAATACATAGCTATTGATGGTTTGTGGATTGTAAGTATATTTAATTTACTTGTATCGCTGCATTTATAGTCAGATTGATACTGATTACGTTGTTAAAGTATGAAGTATAGCTGATGTTACTGCAATAATTCGTCAGTTATGTTTTCTTAAAAATCCTTACTATTCAGACTCAACTTTTAAGGAAAACTGTCGAGGAAATTAGTCTAATCATTGTTCATTGCAAAAGTTCTACATATTCTATGTCTTCATTGCAAGTAACGGCTTAACATATATGTTTTGTTTTGTTCAGGATATGGATGAACTTGGAACATTTGCTGATGGTTCTATAAATGGTTGTGATACCAGCTCAGAATTAAATTCACCACCATACTTACCTGGTAAATATAGCGATTTAACGATTGTAACTGACTTGTTAGAAAGACACATATGCCATGATACCCTTTTAAAAATGTAATTAATCATGTATTTCCTCAGTACATCTTTATAACAATTTATCATCACAAGTCATACTCGTCGCAATGCCTGCAAATAGAATAGTAGTTTCAATACTAAAACTCTTTATATGTTTTATTTAATTAGCATGTTTCATTTTCATTTATGAATTCCACTGTAAATCGTGACACATGTATTTATAGCGACAAATTTGTCCCTCCAGCAAGGCATAACTATCTACAACATTAATCTTTCATAATTTGAATATGCATGATGGAAAACTATAGCAAATATCAAGTAAGTCGCTTAAACTATTCAGTAACGCTTATTCTTACCATAATAGCATGTAATGGCTGTTTAATATACATTTTTTGTTGTATTCATGTTATTATTTGTTAATATTAGCACCATTGCATGAATTTACTGAATTATATTACAGGTTGACTTAATGGTATTTTATGAACTAAGTTTAATAAAGAATAATCACTGTGTGTTGGTGCTTTGCATGTAACATAACAACCAAGTTTTTAATATTTGCTTTTTATTGGTCAAAAAGATTTGTACATTTTGTTTACAATTTACCGAGGCTAGCCGTCAAGGTATGAATATTTTGTAGCCAGGTATTTTGTCATACGAATTGTAACCGTTTCATATATATCTCTTTTATATAATTTCTAGTATGCAAACATGTAGTTTTATTATATACATGACGTTCAAAATATGTGGTGAAAATAAAAAGCATTTACCTTAAGGAGACCCTTCGTCATCTCAAGGTCAACTTATCTCAGTTTCAAAGTCATAATATGAGTCAATGGACTGGCTAAACATAGCTACTTTTTCATATGTACAAATCAAATCAGGTTACAATTTTTACCAAAGTTTACAGAGGACTGCTAATATAAAAAAAATATGAAGTTACAAATTAACTGCACAGTAAAAAACAATGATGCAGCCAATCTAAAAAAAAATAAAAAACTCATCTATTATATATTAAGTAGATTATGATTAAATACTGCGCTATAGATTAAATTTCTTAAATTAACCATCAATATCATTTCCAAGGAGTTAATGCAATATCAGTCAGTTTCAGTAGGATCTTAACTCCTATAATATTTAGGAACCTAAAAATAAATATCTTATGAGCCGCGCCACTGAAACACCACCTAATGACGTTTGCGACCAGCATGGATCCAGATCAGCCTGCGCATCCGTACAGTCTCTGATCATGATCCATGCTGTTCGCTATTAGTTTCTCTTCTTGTTATAGGGTTTGTAAGCGAACAGTATGGATCCTGATCAGACTGCGCGGATGCGCAGGCTGGTCTTGATCCATGCTGGTCGCAAACGCGGCTCATATTTCTTTTATTCAGTTATTCTCACGTTCAATGTGGCCGGTATACCGATGGTTGGAGCTGACATTTGCGGTTTCCAGCATGATACAACTTACGAACTGTGTTTGAGATGGTATCAACTCGGAGCATTCTATCCGTTTTCCCGTACTCACAGTGATAGAATAACGGTATATCATATAACATGTTTCATAAACAAGCAGTTGCGCGATATTTAAGCACAAACATATAACATAAAAACTGAAACGACAATTAAACTTTGTATTCCTCCTTTCATGCTAAATATATTATTAGTTATAAAGATTCTTGACAGGTTATATGGCCCTATATAAACGGTTGTTTGTATATATAACCCGAGCCACAAGTCGAGGGTTATATTGCAAACAACCGTTTATATTCGGCCATATAACCTGACAGCAATCTTTATGACGATTTTGCAATACTGCAAACTTCCTTTTTCAGAGAAAAAAGTGAGATTTCTTTATAAATTGACAGCATGCAGACGTGTTTATAAAACTATATATAAACGTCACGATTATCCAATGAAAAAGGACGTTACAAACGTGCAGTATTATAAGTACATATATATCCAATAATATTGTGAACTGGTAAAAATGGCCAGTTCTTTTTTTAAATCCATGAGTGATTATAATACAAGGCTGTGCTACAAATTTATTGGAATATCTTAAAGAATTGAATCTGAATATTTTGTTCATGTTCCAGAATTTCTTATATAATTAAATTCGAATTTTTGACCATGCCCGTATCATTTAAGTATATTACTTAGCTTACGAGAGAACTACGTTTTGACACTAACTGTACAAATACTCGTACATGTGTAATACCATAAGGTATACATAAAATTCATTCTACCAGCTTTAGTCAGAAAAAACAACAAAATGTTAATTATGTTTTCCAACTCTGAAAGATAATTTATTTCAAATGAGAAATCTTAAGCGATTGTTCGAGAACACATCAGTAGGTAACTCATATGTCATTTAGCATTTACCTCATTTTGAGAATTTCAATCTATTCGGCAATTTGTATTTTATAGATATACCAGGATCCGGGTGCGTTTGATGAATTTTTTGCTGTGAGTGTAAGGGAAGTTTATAGGACAAGATATGCCTTACTGCCTTATTTATATACATTGTTTTATGAAAGCCACACATCAGGGACACCAGTTGCCAGGGCAATGTTTTATGAGTAAGATTAAAAATTTAGTCACTCACCGAATGTGTATTCTAAAGCAGGGTTAATTGCAGTGTCTTTTTAAAAGAAACAACCTGTGTAAAGTTGCTTAAAGAAAAGTATTAATCATCTTATTTTTAAACTATGTATTTGAAGAGAACGTAACACAATAACTAATGATATATTTTATTCAAACAATATAATATAATTATTGTCAACGTTTACATTATTCATATAACCTTAAAGATCCTGTATTTTGTAATTAAGGATGTAAAAAACACTCAAGTCAATTTTTTTCTATATGTATATAATTATTCTTCTAAAACAATTTCCAAACATCCAAAAATATGAAAAAATATTCATTTGCGCATTGTATATTTATGATATAAAACCATAAAAATATTGAGTTACAGGATCTTTAAAAGTTAGAGTTAATAATCTAGAATTGATTGATTATGTTTTCAGGTTTCCACAAAATAAAGAGACATATCAGATTGACTATCAGTTTATGTGGGGATCTGCACTTCTCATTGCTCCTGTTCTCATAAATGTATCTATTTTATCCTACACTTTATTACTCTTACTGACCTATATATTATATCAATCAATCATATTATTTTATAACCTTTCTTATACTTTGGTAAAATATAAGGTACTTAATAAATTATTGTTGAAGATTTGTTTATGGTTTAAAGCAACTAACTATGCATTTTATTTATCCATGCAGTTATTTTGATTGCAAAGAACAGCATTTGAAATGATTCCTTTTCCTGTAACATCTCTAACAAGTCTGAAAAAGTGGTCTCTTGTGCTTCATTCGACATTTGGTTTTCTACAGAATTAATGTTAAATGATAATATACGTCGTGTATTTTATATTCCAGGATCAAACGGTGGAAAACGTTTTTTAATTCTTGCCCATGGAACAGTGCTATGGTACAATTTTACTACTTGCTGGTGAAACGAATACTTGGTCAATAAAAGTTCGACATTGCCGGCACCATTCTAACTTTTAATCTCCTTTACAGGCTGAACTGTTATACTCCGCTACAGGAACCGCAATTACCACACTAGAAGTTATTTAATATTTCAATAAGCTAAACTAACGAATTAGATAGTTGAAAATGATCAGAACTAAAACATAAATTGCAACAAAATAACAGAAACCATTATGCAGTACTGTCTTTTTTGCAATAAACACCATTCTTTAAAAATAAAAGCAGTTGTCTAGAAACAAGTCAAATTTCATTGATGTGCGGGCTAGTTTAGTTTTATATTTTGGTGGCAATGCTATTCAAATCTGGTTAAAGAAGATTAAGAGTTAAGATTTGATAACATGAACAGATGAAAGTATGAGCTATTTCAAAACGTAATGTATGATTTAGTTAACTTTTTAAGTAACGGTTAATATTGCAGCCGAAAGAATGACTTCTCTCTCTTGGTATCAATGGGAACCAATGGTACAGCGTTCGGCTCTCTGTTTTGGGATGATGGAATAACACAAGGTACACACTGAAAATTTCTATTACGATAAAATTACTGTCAGTACCATTATCAAACATTGACATTTTTATTGATGTCCAGCTATTTTAATAAGACATCTCGACAACGTGATAATCTGCAAATAACAATCAATGAAAACATTAAATGCCTATATCAATAAAACTAACTAATAGTACATTATATGATTTATCTTCTTTTAATTTGATTTGTATACCACTCGTTCAATGTTTTATTGGTAACTTAAGATATACAATATTGTCCATTCATTTTACAGCATCTCTAGAACAGGAAACATATAACCTGGTAGATTTTGCTCTGACAGAGGTATACTTTTAAAGTTTATTCAAAGCATATTCAAAGCATATTTAAAGTATATTTAAAGCATATTCTCAGGCGCACTTTAATTTCTTTAGTAATTAAATACGGTTATCCAGAACGTTTGCTAAATTACATTTAGTATTTATTATGTTGGTGTTTAAGGAAACCATCACTGAAAAATAACAAGTTTCCAGTGATAGCCATTATATTTAAATAATTGTAATGATCTTTTTACAACGAGGAATAATTTGTGTAATGTTTAAAATATTCTCACAAAAATGTTGTACGTTGAGACGTTACAATGTATTCATATGTCTCTGTACATATAACCTGTCACGACAATAATATTTCAGGGGAATTTGCTGCAGTCAAAAGTGCATGCGGCAAGATATGTGGACCAACTGCTTAAAAATGTTACAGTATATGGAGTAAACAAGACTCCGTTTAACGTATCAGTGGACGGGGTCCCACAGGCGTTTACATACAATGTAGACAATAAGGCAAGTTATAATCCCTCATTATATTGAGTCTGTAATCATAATTGCCTCGTGCATTTTAATTGTATTGAAATAATAATAAACATTTGTGCTTTTGAAATTAAATAAAATTTGTATTTGACACTCGCTGAAATTCAAAATATTTTGATATTTATATAAATGCAAATTTTAGTAGGACATAAACGTGAATATTGTTGTTTGCTTTATGCAGTATAGAATGGTTTGCTTAATGTACGCAGACCAGTATGTAAATCAGATTCCGTTTTTAATTGCAGGTTTTTGTGATCTCCGAGTTAAAACCAAAGGTCAGCTTGTCAAAGGAATTCATTATGAAATGGGAATATAAACCATAAAACTTTGTGCTTAATACTTCATTGATGAAATCCTCAATTATCTACAAATATATACTTGACTTTTGTCTTTTTGATAATGTCGTACATGTGGATGCAGGAAAAACTTGCCATAAGTGAATAAAGTACGTACAGTGTATAGTAAACATAAATTGTGATAGTAATGGAACGGAATATAAAGCCCAACTTTTGTTTCCAAATGCAATTGTATAGATGTGTTTTGTGATATTTTTATGAAATCCCCACCCACTAACATTTATCTGGATCTACTGAAATTTTATGAGTTTATATATCTTATATGCATTTTAATGTGTATGCCATTTGATTTATACATGTATTGATCAAAGATTTTTCGTTTGTTTGAATTCTTGCAATATTTTTGTCAGGTGCAATTGTACCGATGTTAAGCTTTAAATATTTTAGAAACAAATGCAACATGTCTATAATAGTGGTGTTTTCACGATAAAGGTGTTGTGTATTATTTTGTCTTAACTTTATAATTACACTTAACCAAGTAACCTTCCCAACCGCCTCTTTAACTCAATAGAAGAAGTATATCCCCAGCAAGATGCAATTACTGAGTTGACTTAACTGCTATCTAAATATCTGCCAATATAAGGGAAGTTTCAACTCTTCCATATTGCTATATACAGAACTAGTTGTGCACAACATACATAGTGATACAATATTTGTCCCAACTTAAATATAGCAAAATGTTCATGTTACGAGTACAAGTAATAATAAATCATTTACAATTTATTCTGTTTTAACTGGATATAACTATACATAAATATATGTATTATATTAAAAACAAATAAATTTAATACATGGGTAGACCAGTTTATTCATTGCCTACTACATGTAAAACTATGATGATTTTTATAGAATAAGCACACTTTTTAAGTGATGTCCCAACTGTATGATACAAAATCACTTGATTAAAGCTTAATATTAAGTATCAATGTAGTAGTAAATGAAAAAGTCACTGATGGCAAATTCCCTGCAGACCTGGAGAGAAGTAATACAAAGAGGATAGTCCACTTCCACACTCTGACATTTAAATACGTATCAAAGGTCAATAACCCAAAAAGTACATGGCTTGTAATGAAATTTTAAGCTTATATCTCTTACATATTTTGTGTTATAGCCAGAAAAAAATGCAAATAAAGCATGAAAAAATAATAAAGGGCAATAACTTCAAAATTTTTACGAGGAGAGTTATTATGGTCAACTCCATTCCTTCTTACTGTATGTCATCTATCTACCAATGAAGTTTCGGATTAATATATGTAAAGCTTTATAAGTTATGGTCTGAACAAAAATAATTCAGGAGAAATAACATAAATGAAGCAAAGAGTTATTATACTTGAGCACTACACTGCTCCTTAGTGAACTATACTATTCCCATATAGTGTCAAAATTGATATTCCAAAAAACTGTTCGAGTTACGTTGTGGACAAAACAACCCTGGGTCGCAAAAAAAGAAGAGATACATTGCAAGAAAAGGTTTAAATGAGGTCACACTGGTTTGTCACATTCTTCTCCAGGCTGTATTATTGGTACGTTAGTGACCCCTAGGGCGGGGTCATTTTAACTTTAGGGGCATGGGGAATGACTCATATAACTTTAAATAGTAGAGGTCCAAATGGCAATGATTCATGCCAAATATTAATATCTAAGGTCTTTGCATTGTAATTTTACAAAAGAAAACTTAAATTTTATTTCCTTTTTTAAATAACTATACGTTATTAGTCCTATAAAAAAGCACCTGCCATGTTCATTAACACAATGGCCAGCCTTAAAACAGGGCCAATATCTATATCACTTTTTCGGCCCCGGGCCGAAAAGTGATATAGATATAAAGCCCGCATTTAAAGTAATTTGATTGGCTTATATAGCAGGGCCATAAATGATATAGATATCTGCAAGAAACTGGGAAATGGCAGCCATTTTGTTTTAACTCGGTCTATGTGTAGACGCCGACAGGTTGCATAAATGAAGAAAAATATTCTCATTTCTAAACATGCACAGTCTAACATTGTGTTGTACATGTACAATATAAGTTACAAAATGTAGGTTTTCCATACAAACTGATAAATTGTAGTTATTTTTACAGTTGTTCTTTGTTATAATTAAAATATGTTAGAATTAAAATAAGAAGAAATATCCGAGGATTAAATGTGAAATATTATAAGTACATGTAGTTATTTAATAAAATTGTCAATAAATAAATGATTTGATATTGGCCCTGTTATTTGTCCTCGGGTCAGTCGTATTGGCCCTCGGCCTCCGGCCTTGGACCAATACGACTGCTCTCGGACAAATAACAGGGCCAATATCAAATCACTTATTTATAAACATATAGTATAAAG